TGATAGGGTTCTAGTGATGGATAAAGGAGCGATTGTAGAGAAAGGAGATCCATGGAAGTTATTCAATGAAGGAGGAATGTTTAGAATGATGTGTGATAAGGCAAATATTACCGAAGCTGATTTTTGTTGAATATAGATTGACTCGACATCGACACTATCTCGCTCTGCTCGATAGTGGAGCAACATTGACTGCCACCAGCACTATCGAGCAGAGCGAGATAGTGGAGCAACACTGACTATAGTTTAGCGTATAGTAATTGAAATCGACACTATCGACATCGACACTATCGAGCAGAGCGAGATAGTGGAGCAACACTCACTGTAGTTTAGCGTATAGTAGTTAAAATCGACACTATCGAGCAGAGATACTATCTCACTCTGCTCGATAGTGGAACAACATTGACTGCCACCAGCACTATCGACACTATCGAGCGAGATAGTGTTGTGACAAGCTACTAAGTGTTGATGTCGATGTCGTGCTCCACTATCTCGCTCTGCTCGATAGTGGAGCTTTGAAAATGTCGATGTCGATAGTGGAGGTTTGAAAATGTCGCTGATAAGAAAATTTCTTTTTTCATCAAGATGCGGAAAGTACCGGAAAAAAATATGTCTCCCCTTTCAAAACAGGATTAGCATTACAAAATGTCTCAACACACAGTAGTTGCTATAAGGAAGAAAAAATATTTGAGGTTGGATTAAGCACTACATTACAAGGCAATGACATGGCTCATAAAAACACAAGAAACTTAACTTACCCCATACCGTTCCACAGGGTGCTGTAATAACAACTCCCGCGGTGCTATGGAGGTATTATTGCCATTGCTACAAGAACGTTTTATAGAAATAGATTTGTAAGTATCATGACACCATCCATCATCTGCAACAAGTCAAAAATAAAGATTGCAGTCATTCGGAAGTCCAGCACGGGTCGAACCGTTAATTAGTTTTTTATTTTTATTTTTATTTTTATTTTTATTTATTTATATATATTTTTTTTTTGTATCTTTTTGTTAGCATTCAGCCAATGAAAATTTTGCAGTTTGCAATAAGCCAACTCTCAAACAATTGTGAAAAATGTATAGAAAAATGTATAGAGTAGTATAAAAATTTTGCTGGTGAATAAAACTCATCTATAATTTGTCATTTTTTTTTTCTTTTTCATTCTTTTATTCTATTGAATATATATTCTTCAATTTATTTAACACTAGAGAAAGATCATAATGCCAGCTCCATTTGAACAAGGTTCGGAAAAAAAAGGTGCTACTTTATTCAAAACCAGATGCTTACAATGTCACACAGTTGAAAAAGGTGGTGCTAACAAAGTTGGTCCAAACTTGCACGGTGTTTTCGGTAGAAAATCAGGTCAAGCTGCAGGTTACTCATACACTGAAGCCAACAAGAAAAAAGGTGTTGTATGGGATGAACAGCACATGTCTGACTATTTGGAAAACCCAAAGAAGTATATACCAGGTACCAAGATGGCTTTTGGTGGTTTGAAAAAGCCAAAGGACAGAAACGATTTGATCACTTATTTGGTAAAGGCTACTTCTGAGTAGATGCATCTACAAATTATGGAAAATTGACTACTAGACTTTGGCACTATCGAGCGGAGCGAGATAGTGGAGCAACACTCTGTAGCTTGTTACAACACCCTGTAGCCTGTTATAACACTATTGAGCAGCGATATTATCGTGTGCCTATTTTCCAGTTTTTTTACTGTATATATATATAATCATTTGATAAAACAATCTTATTTCCATCAACCAGCGAAACTATCAAGCGACACTATCGAGCGACACTATCGAGCGACACTATCGAGCGACACTATTGAGCGACACTATCGAGCGACACTATCGAGCGACACTATCGAGCGACACTATTGAGCGACACTATCGAGCGACACTATTGAGTGACACTATCGAGCGGAGCGAGATAGTGGAGCAGCACTTAGTGGCTTGTTACAACACTATCAAGCGACACTATCGAGCAACACTATCTCGCTCTGCTTGATAGTGGAGTAACACTCTGTAACTTAATACAAGACTATCTCGCTCTGCTCGATAGTGTTGATAGTGTCACTAGTCAATGCTGCTCCACTATCTCGCTCTGCTCGATAGTGTCGATAGTGTCACTAGTCAATGCTGCTCCACTATCTCGCTCTGCTCGATAGTGTCGATAGTGTCACTTGTCAATGCTGCTTCACTATCTCGCTCTGCTCCATAGTGTCGATAGTGTTGCTATTAAAAGCTGCTTCACTATCTTGCTCTGCTTGATAGCGTGGATAATGGCACATCACGTGACAGTTCTATTGCTTTTTCAATTTTTCAATTTTTCAATTTTTTGTTGACTATTTTTTTTCTTCATTTTTTTTTCAACAAGCCTCTGAGTCTCTGAGTGTTGCTCCACTATCCCGCTCCGCTCGATAGTGTCGAATATGAAAATACCTGTTGAGGTAGACCTTGACGAAGATACTGAGTGGAACGATATTCTCCGAGCGCATGGAGTCATTCCTGAGAAGCCACCGTCTCCAACAGAACAATTAGAAGAAGCATTAGAAGAAGCCGTTAGGAAACAGCACGAGACGCGATTAGACAACAAAGATCTAGAGGAATTAGACGAGCTAGAAGATCAAGAGGATGAGGAGTTTCTCAATTACTACAAACAGAAACGAATGGCAGAGCTCAAGAAGTTGGCCGAGAAGAAGAAATTCGGACTGGTTTTACCAGTTGACAAAAAAGAGTATAACGAGCAAGTAACGAATGCGTCAAAGGAGACATATGTGATTGTGCACTTATCGCTCCAATCGAGTCTACAGAGTAGATTATTGAGCTCGCTTATGGTTCAAATGGCTGCAATATTCCCCGAGTTGAAATTTTGCGACATTTCTGCACAGCGATGCATTGAAAATTACCCCGAATCAAACTGTCCAACATTGATAATATACCATAATGCTCAAGTTCAAAAACAATTTATTACGCTTACTCAACTAGGAGGAAACGCTACCACTTTGAACGACTTGGAAAAGGTGCTAGTTGACGTTGGAGCTGTAAAGGAGAGCGATAAAAGGTTGATAATCAATAAACAAGAAGAAGAAGATGGAGGTGATGGAGAAAATGGTTTACAAGATGCAAGAAGATTACGGTTCAAAAGGAAACCGGTGAGAGAGGACACTAACACCAACACCAACACCAACATCAATAGCGATGATATCGATGACTTTTATGATTAAAGAGAGAGAGGACCCACCCCCTTGCTTGCTGGGCGATGATATCGATGCCTTTTGTATGCGCGCGCGCGCGCTTTTCCTTTTTTTTGTTTTTTCCCCTGACATTTGGTAGCGTCTTAGACCAATTTAAAGATTTTCGGCTTTTTTATTTTTACAACCAAATTTGTATCCACATAACATTAAATAAACGACCATTACGAGTTGTTGTTAGCCAAGAACGGTCTTTATGGTACCTGGTATTGCTGACAAGATCAATGAACTCATACTTGAAACGGGGGGAATGATTGATCATATACTGCCAAGAGCTATTTGCAATGCGAGGAGCTTAGGTAATGACGAGGATGACAATGATATTGCAGCCAAATTCGGTTTGGTGAATTTGAATGATAACGATGAAAACTTGAAGGGTAGGGGAAATGGTGGTGGCAACAAGGGGGGTGATTACCCTGGTGGTAGCAACAAGGAGGTTAACTACGAAAACTTGAAGGGTAGGGGAATTGGTGGTAATGGCGGTAGCAACAAGGAAGGTAATGGCGGTAGCAACAAGCAGGGTAATGGTGGTAATGGCGGTAGCAAGGAGGGTAATGGCGAAAACTTGAAGGGTAGGGGAATTGGTGGTAATGGCGGTAGCAACAAGCAAAATAATGGCGAAGATGACGATACAATGTCAGACTCAGGAGATGAAGTAGTGGTGTTCAAAAGTGCCGCTTATGAGAAAACCATCCTTCAATCTCACAACTTGAATCTTCCCTTTTCTGAAGCAATTCCAATTATTCAAGAGTCACATGTAAAAAGCGCAATCGAGGCATTGGAACAACCAAAAGAGCCCTTGATTGGCGTGTCGGTTGAATCAACCATTGCTACCTCGAAACAAGTATTATCACAATCTGTCAATCTCGCCCAATCTGGCAAATCTGAGTTGCAAACGGAACCGGAAACGCAATCTAAAGCAAGAACAGGCGCAGAGAATAATGATAACAGTAATGCTGTTGTTGTTGTTGTTGATGACGATGATGATGATGATGACGATGACGTTGCTGTTGTTGTTGATGACAATAATAACAATAATAATAATAATACTGAGGGAAAAGAAGCAAACCCCATTGCTGCTGTATTAAATTTGCAGCCAGTTGTGAGAAAGTTTAAGTTATTGAACAATGAAAACTTGGCATGTTACTCACCTTTGGTGGTAAACACCGGTACACCCGAAGAGTTTAAGGCTGCTACAATCAACTTTTGGGTATGTCAGGATTATGATCGTTTTTTTGGCGTTCAAAGTTTCCAAAAGGAGATTGAAATAGCCAAGGCATTGCGATTTGAAGATGATTCAGAATCTGTAGCCTTGAAGAATGAAAAGATAATCTATATCACTACTAGGATTGTCAATCCGGGCAAAGTCTTGAATGCCTATTTCAACAGCGGTCCAACAAAGAGAGACTTGTACATTGATTTGATATTGAACAATAATGGGTGCAATATTTTACTACAATTGATGAAGTTTTTCAAGGAAAATGGAACAACAATCGAATCAAAAATCGATTCGGTATTTCTCAGGATTCTGGCATCGTATTTCAACCAAATTCGAGTTATATTTGGAGTGCTCACGACTAATACCCTATTTTACGAAAAGATCAAGTCATTGGGATTGTTTGTTGGGTTACATCAATATGCCAATGGGTATGTGTTTGATGCACTATCTGATACACTTATCAAGTTACCTCCCACACTTGAAAAATTGATAGTGTCTAATGGTTTAGAAATCACTGATTTTGCTCAGTTGCCCGCAACTTTGAAAGAGATTGGATTTCATAATGTGAAAATGATGAACTTGAGCAAATTCAATTTGCTAAAAAACTTAAAATATCTTTGCATCAATGGAAATGAAGTAAAATTAGACGGTCGCGTTGAAAGCTTTCCAAAGGGGTTTAGAATCGGTTTGGAAACAGTAAAGTTTGACTCTTCCGTTAGTGTTAGTTGCAATTTTCGAAACTTTGCTCAATTGACTTCATTAAGTTTGCTGAACCTATCATACACTCGCACGAGAGACTTGACTTTTCCTTTGATGTTGAGGAAATTGGAGCTAATTGACTGCATGATTAGTTCCAACATCTCGGCTTTTCCGGACACTTTAAGGATGTTGACCATAATAAGAAGCAAATGGAGTCCAAAGAGAAACTGCCACCTTGCTAGGTTGCAAAGATTCAAGATAGCCGACTCTGAGGTTAAAGATTTGAAAGAGAAAATTCTTGCTTGTAAGACTCTACTCAAATTGGAAGTGTCAAATAGCTCAATAGACAAGATCCAGCACGATTTCAAGTTTCCGCAGACTTTGAAGATCTTGAAATTGATAAAGGTCCCCTTGAAGGGTGTTCCCGAAAGTGTGTTCCCAAACTCTTTAGAGATTATCAACTTGGAAGAGAACGACCTTAAATATATATTACTGCTGCTGAACTTGAAAGCAATGAGAATAGCTGGTAATCCAATACAAGGAGACGTTGACTTGCGACACATTGCAGTTAAGGATGTTACTCTCCAGAATAGCGCTCAGCTTGGAAGCATCTTTCTCAATGAGGAAACAGCCTATTTGAATGCCTCATATTCATCGTCATTAGTATCTATAAGTGGTGAAGGGTTGACAAAGGTAGTCTTGGATGGATGCAAAAGCTTGAACTTGAGCCAGTTCAAGTTCCCACTGAAGATCACCCAATTGAGCTTGAAGGATTGTGATTTTGTCAAGTTTGACGACCCTACAGTTGAGATACCCCATTTAAGGATAATGGATCTTTCTAATAACAAGTTGGAGAGTATCGATTTGTCACGGTTTGAGCACTTGCAGGACGTTGATATCTCAAACAACAAGTTGACAGTCATCGACAACTCATACTTTCCCCAGTCAATCAAGTCCATCAACGCAAAGGAGAATCTAATACAAGAGGTAAAAGTGGCAGAGTTAAAGAATATTGAATGGTTGCAATTATCTGACAACAAGATTGAAAAAATGACCAATGTTGAAGTTCCTGAAAAATTGAGGACCTTGATATTGAATAACAATAACATTTGTGAATTTTTGTCAAATTCTTTCAAAATTCCCATGAATCTTTGTCATTTAGAGTTGAACAAGTGCAAAATTGCAAAGTTTGACCAAATTTTGCCTCAAAAATTAATGTCATGTTGTTTGAACGGGAATAAACTACACGGTCAAACATTTTCAATAAAGTTTGAAAAAAAGTCTCCGTGCTTGAAGTTTTTGGATTTAAGTAGCAATTATTTTAAGCTGTTTGATTTTTCCTTGCTACAAGATGTTGGCGTTGAGTTGTCAGAACTCAACTTGGCAAGTAATATGATTGAAGAGGTTCCACAAATTCCTGGTAATATCCTATCAGCCATTCTTTTTAAAGCATAAAATATAAGCTTTTTCTTTACCTTAATTGAAGAGTAATATCAGATATATATACATATATACACATACATATAAGCTAAACCAATATATACTTACCTATCCATGACCTTTTCTTATATCCTTTCTCCACATGAAACCACTTATTACTAGGAGAAAAAACAAAAGTTTAGTCGCCAGACCATTAAAACTGCAAAGCCGAAAAATAAAAAATGAAAAACAGAGCGAGACTCGTTAGGTAAGTTCAGGCACAGAACTTTTAGTGGACTGGCGCTTCCTTTTAACTATTTTGCATACAAGTACCCTTTATTCACAGGGAGCACACATTCGCAAATACCCTCCTTGTACTATTGCCGACGCATTCCATACATTATTTCCTCGACTTTGAGCTATACGGTCTTTTGCCCTGTTTTTTTTCTTTCTTTTTTTAATTTTTTTAATTTTTTTTTTTTTTTTTTTTTGCAATTTCCTCCATACATTCTATGATATAGATGTCATCGGTATCATCGACACTCCAGGTCAATAGTATTAGCAGCCAATCACATCCAGATGGTGAAATATCAAATGGGAGTCTTGGGTCAGGCCAAAATAGGACTGTTTTCAGCGAATCACAGCATATTCCAATAGTTTTAGATAATCTCGGATCTTTGCCATCTTGTGCGCATCTAGATCAAGTGTTGAGCTCGCGAGCCCAAGAAACAGTACTTGATACTTATCGGCAAGCGGTGCTCATATCACATCAAATCGATATATCGACCACAAACTATAGAACCAAAGACGGGGCAAATATTGATCCTGAAAAGATACTTGCCAAGAAGTTATTGAGCTTAAAATGCTCAGAGTGTGATTCATCTGACTTTCAACAAGTGATGATCTGTCTCCAATGTCCCAATGTTAGTTGCCACCGACATGCCCACTCGCACTACAAGGGAAGCCAGCATATGTTTTCCATTGATCTGAATTTGGGGTTACTATATTGTTTTAAATGTAATGCGTATATAAACCATCCAAGGTTGGAGAAATTAAGATGCCAAGTTATGGGAGTGCAAAGTGTGGAAGATGTAACAAAAACAGAAGCTGAGAATTATAGCGATCCCAATAAACTTGCAATGCTTGGTCTAAAGGGATTTGTGAATCTAGGATCAACATGTTATATGAGTTCAATTCTACAAACATTTGTCCACAATCCAATTCTAAAGACACGATTTTTCAACAATGACCTACACTATTTCAACTGCAAATACTTATATGATCAAGAAGTCACTGGGTCAATTCACGAGGGCAATGCTTGTATTACTTGCAGTATAGATAAAATTTTCAAAGAATTTTACACGATGGAAAGTACAGAAGGTTTTGGAATGACAGATTTACTAACGACAGCTTGGTATAAGCAAAAATCGTTGGCAGGTTTTCAAGAGCAAGACGCTCATGAATTCTGGCAGTTCCTATTAAACGAGCTTCACCTGGATCATATAAGAGTATCAAACCAGCACGGTGTTTGTACCTGCATCAGCCATGCTTGTTTCGGCTTCCAACTACAAAGCTGTGTCAAATGCAACTGCGGAGCTGAAAACATTACCGTGGATCCTCCAACTTTCGAGCTTTCATTGGAGTTATCCTTTAAAAATGACAAAAGTGACAAAAATGACAAACACACGAGTATCGATTTGTATACATGCTTAGACCTGTTTACAAGGGAAGAGAAACTCGACACTCGGATCTCGTGCAAAAGTTGTTTTAAAGAAGCAGGAGCCACCAAGACGCTTAGATTGAAAAATCTCCCGCCTGTATTATCCATCCAATTAAAGAGATTCAAACACAATATACAAAACGATACTTCATCTAAAGTTGAAATTGCAGTGGAAATACCTTCATTTTTTGACTTGAATAAGTATACTGTGGACGCTGAAGATGGACAAAAGATATTTGAATTATTCTCTGTAGTTTGTCATATTGGACTGGTCAGCACTGGACATTATATGGTATACACTAAGAACTGGCAAGGTTTATGGTTCAAGTTTGATGATAGTATCATAACTATTGAGAAAGAGGAAGATGCAATGGAAGCTGCCAAGTCAAATGGCTATCTACTCTATTATATAATGCATAATACATAATATATCTCAGTACTCTCTTTGATTTGAAATATTTCAAACCCAAAAAAAAAAAGAAAGAAAAACATATAATAGAACGATAATCTTAATCTCCTTTGGAATTTCTTTTCTATAACAAAGAATATAATACTATCGAGCAGAGCGAGATGGCGGAGCACACTAGCTCTTAACACTATAGACACTAACTCTTAACATTATATACACTAGCTCTTAACATTATATACACTAGCTCTTAACATTATATACACTAGCTCTTAACATTATATACACTAGCTCTTAACATTATATACACTAGCTCTTAACATTATATACACTAGCTCTTAACATTATATACACTAGCTCTTAACACTATAGACACTATACGGGTTTGATTGCATCAAATCCGTGTAATAGATGTAGAAGAAAGTAGACGTGGTGAAAATGAGAAAAAAAATAGAAACGAAGAAAGAGAGACAAGTTCCAGAATTCTTCTTTCTCTTCTCTCCAAATTGAAGTTGTGTTACAGGTTACCTTTCTCTGAAACAAATCCACATAACGCAACAAAGTTTCAGATAATTTAAGATGTCAAAAAAATCAAAGAGGATATAGTTTTTTTCCCACTCCTTCTACACCCTACCATTTCCCCCTTTCCCCCCTTTCCGGTTATTCTCTTGATAAATATGCAAAGGGAGGCTTAGCACTATCGAGAGACGCTATCGAGCGACACTATCGAGCAACACTACCGAGCAGAGCGAGATAGTGGAGCACACTAGCTGCCACCCACTAGCTGCCACCCACTATCTGCCACCGACTAGCTGCCACCCACTATCTACCACCCACTAGCTGCCACTGAGTAGCTGCCACCCACTAGCTGCATATGACTAGCTGCATATAAATCACACATATATTTAGGAAACGCCAAAAAAAAAAAAACTAAATCTATATTTTGACATAGTTTGTCCACCATTGTTACCTCAAATCTGATACATACTCATAAATTTATCCTCTCTTGTTTCTCTCATTCATTCCTATATCCTCTCTTGTTTCTCTCATTCATTTCTATACCCTCCTTGTTTCTCTCATTCATTTCTATACCCTCCTTGTTTCTCTCATTCATTCCTATTCACTGTGTTTATTGTGTCAGACATTTTTTCAAGTGTCGGAAATTGAAAATACATATTACACAAAATCAAACTATAAAACAAATTTGCAGCAATAAAAAAAACAAGAAACAAAAATATAATTACTTTTCCTAATTGGGAATTAATTATGTACATTAGATAAGATTATAGTTGCAAAAGATACGAGAAAACGATGAAAATCTTATTGAAAAGTGACGTTATTGTGTTTTATGGCACTTTCTTGAGAAAACCATTGTGAGCTTTGTATTTGTATTGTATCATCCTCAATTCTTTCCTTCCTCAATTTCTCTCCTTCCGCGTTTATTTATGCACTTATAGGGTAACCACTAACTTGAAGTCTATAGTGTTAAAACAGTTTCAATCATGAACCTCCTTTTTTTTTTTTTTTTTGTCAAACTCATTAGTGTAGTAAGCTATTAAACAAAAGTTTTATTTTCTCTTGTTCCTTCTATTCTTTTGACCCTCGGCTAATGAACGAAAAATGCCACAACTATGGTTGTTTTTTCCCTTTTTTCCCTTTTTCTCTCCTTACATCTTTCGATATTCCTAAAATCAATCCCCCCCTTCCAAATAACTTCTTTTTTTCATTATAAAAAAATTATCACAAAATCATTCCGGTTGTGTTTGCAATCTTGATACTAGGAAGATAGAAAACAACTAAAAAAAATAAAAATAGTTTAATAGCAGTTTAGCCGTCAAGACTTGCATAATGCAAAAAGAATTCAACGAGAAGAAGAAGAAGAAGAAGAAGAGGAGGAGGAGGAGGAGGAGGAGGAGGAGGAGGAGGAAGATAATGACAAGGCGAAACTGGGCAATGGGCTAATTTTGTCACACCTAAGACATTTCATTATTCAGAAATATATCACCAATCCGTTGCTTTTGCCAGAATATGACAATAGAAAATTCCACTTGAGGACCTATGTTGTTTGTGTGGGTAATTTCAAGGTATTTGTGTACAAGAATATTTTAGCATTGTTTGCTGGGCAAACATATAACATTGATGAAGCGACTAATTTGAAAGATCTTTGCCAAATAGACATGAGTGGTCACTTGACAAATACGTGTTTGCAAGAGGAAGGAGACAATATCTTGGTGGTACCATTTTGGCAATTGAAAGGTATTTCCGATTCAAATAGAGTTGAGATTTATGACCAAGTTTGTCAGATTACAAGAGAAGTTTTCACTGCGGCGACAACTGTAGATAAATTGAATTTTCAGCCATTAGATAATGCCATTGAAATTTTTGGGGTAGACTTTTTGGTTGATAGTAGCAATGATGTTTATTTATTAGAGGTCAATTCATACCCTGATTTCAAACAAACGGGAAACGATCTTAAGCAGGTTATTTTTGATTTGTTTAGAGTTACTGTTTACGAAATCATTCATCCAATGGTTTCTAAGATTGAGTTGAAGGATGAAATTGAAAATATGAGGCAAGTGATTTGACACTACACTATCGACACTATCGAGCAGAGCGAGATAGTGGAGCACACTAGCTGCTACAGACACTATCGACACTATCGAGCAGAGCGCGATAGTGGAGCACACTAGCTGCTACAGACACTATCGACATTATCGAGCAACACTCAGTAGCTTGTTACAACACTATCTCGCTCTGCTCGATAGTGTCGCTCGATAGTGTCGTTCGATAGTGCTTTATCTGGAGGATATTCTACTTTAGTTTACACTATTTTACTCTAGTCTACACTATTCTACTCTAGTCTACACTATTCTACTCTACTCTAGTCTACACTATTCTACTCCACTCTTTGCTCCACTCTTTGCTCCACTCTTTGCTCCACTCTTTACTCTAGCCACTATCTCGCTCTGCTCGATAGTGTAGTGATATACACCCACGTCATAACCAAGAGTAACCCCCGCCACTTCCACAGCTCTCATTCCCCATCATCAAGTTCGTAGCAATACAAAGCAAACTCATCTCATTCAACAATGGTGAAAAAAAAAAGCATTCCATGTAAGAAAAGAAGCAAAGAGATTAAAGGAAAATTTTTTTTCTTCTGGCATTAACAAATAAAACAAGTGACTTCATAACAACATTAATATAAAGACAAGGGGTTACCTTAGATTATAGTGATATCGGTAAGCTCTTCCAATTTGTTACAGTGTAACTCGAACTGGCAGTTGAATATTTTCCAACGAAATCGCCTTTTAAAAACCTCCCCTTTGAAGTTATAATCAGGTTTAATCGGGATATATACAAAGTGAAAAAAAAACAAACAAACCATGTCTACACATCGAAAAACTTTTAAGAATCAACTGAAGAGGTTTAATAATGGCAGTGGCAATGGTAGTGGCAACGGCAGCGGCAATGGCACTGACACATCGGTTGAGCTAGCTAGTTTGGTGGAGATGTTTCCAGATTGGGAATCTGATGAGTTGAACACATTGCTAATCGAGAATAGCAATGCACTCGAGGTTGTTATTGATTTGATTGTCAACAATAAAGTCTCCAAATGGGAACCAATTAAAAAGGAGAAGAAGAAGAAAGAAGTCAAGGAAGATATAGACTCACTGAGTGCTTCTGCTTCTACATTTCAGCCATCACATAGTAACAATGATAAAAAATCGTCATTATCGAAATCGAAAGCATCAGCAAGAACTCCTAAAACGCAAAATTTCAATTCGAGGAAATCACAAAGAGGCGCAACAGACAAACACAACAGCAACAGCAACAGCAACAATAATAATAATGCCACTAGTAGCAGTAGCACCACTACAAATGATGAAGCTAAACACAAAGAATCTGGCTCTTTGAGCTCTTGGGCATCAGCTTTAGGTAATGACAAGCCAAAGGCTCAAAAGAGCACACCAGATGAAGAAAGGAGTACTTCTCTAGTTGATGAGAAACCACAAGAAGAGCAGTCTGCAATAGAACCAAATGATGAACAAGAAAAAGAGGAAGGAAAAGGTAAAGGAAAAGGTAAAGGAAAAGAAAAAGAAAAAGAAAAAGAAAAAGAAAAAGCGGTAGCCACAAAGGAAACGGCGTCAGAGGAAACGTCCAAGCCAGTATTGAAAGAAGCAACAATTCCAGAATTAAAACAGGGATCTTGGGTTTCTGCTATTACGCCCAAAACAAAACCTAAACCCAAAGCAACAACAAAACCAGTAAAGAAAACAAAACAGGTGAAATCTCAACCAACTGAAGAACAACAGCAACAGCAACAGCAACAACAAGTACACCAAGAGCAATCACAACAATTCCAACATCAGGATATAAATACTCAACAGCCCGTAACAGCGGCACAGGAGGAGAGTAATGTTTTAGAAAAACAGCAACCACAACAACCACAACAGCAGCAGCAGCAACAACCACAACAACCACAACCCTCACAAGATGTTGAGTCTATTGCACCATCACTTGCAATTCCTCCAGTTGAAACTTCTTCACAGGCTTCTGCTCAAGTAGTATTGCCATCTTCACAGCAACGTATCAACTCTGTTGGAATTAGTTTTGGATCATTGTCTTTAGCGGATGATGAAGTGAAAGAAGCCCACGAACAATTACCAGAACAGCAGCAACAACAGCAGCAACAACAACAACAACAGCAACAGCAACAACAGCAACAACAACCAGAGCAAGTGCAACAACAACCACAGTCGCAACCACAGCAGCAGCAACAACCAGCACGCTACGGATTATATGACCAACAACCATCTCAGGCTGACTTGCAGCAGAATGTACATTTTCAACAACAAGCTCAAGCTCAAGCTCAAGCTCAAGCTCAATACTCGAAACAGACGCCACAACAAACATCTCATCACGTTTTACCAGGTCAACAACAACAACCTACACAACAGCAGTATGATTATTATAACCAGTTCCAGCAACAACACTTTCCACAGCAAACAGCTCAACCAGGTGGCCAATTTGGTGGTTATCCAGGGTATGACTATAATGCTTTTAGCCAACAAGCATATGCATCATCTCCTGCGCCAGGCCACGTTAGCACCACACCAAGTGGCACCTCAGCATATGCTCAATATGGCCAACAGCCTGTTAACAAGAGTGATTCAGCGCAAAGCCCAGCACACACCCAGACAGCTTTACAACAACAACAACAAGCTGCGGTATTGGCCCAACAACAACAACTGCAGCAGCAACTGCAGCAACAACAGATGCCAACACCATTTGGTTACCCTTACTACAATTATTACTACAATAATCCATACTTTAGTGCAGCCAGTGGTTTAGGTTCCAATGGTTTTGCCTCGGCTACCGGTTCTGTTGGTCAACAAAGTCAGCAGACGGGCCAACCAGGAGCAGGAGCCGCGCAACAAGCAAATGTACCATCAACCAGCCAGCAGTCTTCTATTTCGTCTAACGGGTTTGGCGCTCAACAACAGTATTACAATCCTAACCAATACTCAAACAGGTACCCAGGCTACTCTTACCCACCTCAGCCACAACAGCACACGCAACAAAGCCAAGGTCAAGGTCAAGGTCAAGGTCAAGGACAAGGTCAAGGACCAAATGTTGGTCAGTCTACAACAGGCTCCGAGAGTGAGGCATCTCAGCAAAGCCAAGGGCAACAAGCACAGCCACAACCCCAACAACCAATGGTACCTCAATATGGTGGCTACCAACAATACCCTCAGTATGGGTACCAAGATTCTACACAGTACCGTGGAGGCTGGTATTAAGTTTTTCATATTTACATAATCTGAAACGGGACCTTATCACAAGAGATTGAGGGAGAATAACTCACCAATAGAGTATATACAAAGAAACGATACGATGAATAAAATGTATTTTTATTTAGTCTGAGCTGACAAACAATGTCTGATTAGAAGAGACCAATTACACCGACCAACACACCTCTCAAACATTCTCTTCTTCTTTTTCTCTGACGCATCTGGAAAGAGGAGCTATGGAGCAGTTGCAGTTGCGAGACTCCTCATGACAGAAGTTGTCAATTCTACTCATATTTAACAGGTAGAAACCTCTATTAAAAAACCATGTTGCCGTCTCATATTCAACCATCCCTCTGTTACCATAGTGTCAGTGGCAGCCAGTGTTGCAAAGATTGCAAATATTCAAACTAGAAAGCAACAAGAACCCGCCTCTCCTCCAAATCTCCAAATCACTCTTGTTTCAACCAAAAGCTACCACCAATTCGACCAAAACTATCGCGAGTTTTGACCAAAAGCTACCGCGAGCTGGACCAAAGCTACCACCATTTTAGCCTTTCTTTTTTTTTTCCCCCTCTCTTCGATTTTGAATAAACTACGAAAGAAACTTACTACTGATTTAATATTCATCATATATTGAAAGGTGTATGTAAAACAATAGGGTTGGTTCTTACAATTGTTGTTTTGTCACGTCTAATGTATACATGGCTGTATAGAGAGAGACAAATTTGAAGACGGTATTTTTTGAATAGATATCATCCCCCCCCCCCCTAGGCCAGGCTGCTCGAATCGCATAGTTGGGACTAATCACGAATTGTTTGATGAACTCATAGCCATTAGCATTGCCACCCACTGCCACTAATTTTATTACGATCTAAGATTACAGTTTTTCGTCATGTCTAATATATCTTATCTTACAGCATACAATGCTCACAGCGGAGTTTCAATCAAGATCCCCAAACCTATACGATTCCACACCTTAAACGAGTTTAAAGAGTATTTGTTACAAACTTTTGCAATGGAAAGCATAGACAATATATTCCTATTGAGCTCTTTTGGTATAAAAGTGAACTTCAATCTCATAAATGAAACTATGGATGTGTTTGTGTTTGACAAAAGACTATTTGTCAAGAATGTTGACCAAAGCTTGCTAGAGTTTTATTTCACAAAAAAAGAGTATGAGAAACTTCAAGAACCCAAGATACTGCCGTTAGTTGAGAACCATGCTTTTAATAAGCAAAGCATGCAGAGTTTGATGCGGGTCTACCACGGTTGGGCAAGGGCTTTGCTACAAGACTGCATGATACTAGAGAAACTTTGTCAACAACTTGTCAAGCAAATCAACACGATATTTCAATCTTTGAACACTATATTGCAATTTGCAAGCAATTTCACCGATGATATTGAAAAAAATTTCAATCACCACTATAACTATATCAAGCTATTAAACTACAAAACTTTACACAAGACATGGTCCAAGAACTACAAATTATTGGACCAGTTTCCGGTGGTTAAGATCAAACAGTCTCGGATAAAGTTGATTGAGCTCTTGGACCACGAGGCGCTAATCAACGCGTCCGAGTATGTCACTAAATATTTACCTTTAATTTCACAGAAGTTCAACGAGTTGCAGAAAGACGCTGGTGAAGTAAATGAAGATCGAGGTAGAATAGACAACCTAATTGAAAGATGGAGAAATGAGTCGATTCAAAAATTTAAGGATATTAATGCTAAAGAATTGATTCATCATATCCAGTTACAAGTTCAACTAGCAAACGGGGCAAATGACTCCAATGACATTACCTCTCTTGAACAATCTTACAATTTTCATAAGTCGAAAGTTTCAATAGAACTAAGAAATGAAGCAAAAAAGTTATATTCCTACTTCATTAGTCTCAAAGGGTTCAGAGAGAACCTAATTAAGCAGGGTCCTCAAGTTTACTATATAATAGCATCAATTCAAATGAAAATGGTGAGTTACAGAACTCGTTTGAGAAATATGGTTGAGGATCAAACAAGTGAACACACTGATAAGGATGTAAATTTCAAAACCATTTCGAATGTTAAAAAATATGAGGATATGTTGTCTCTTACGATAGATTTGCCTTTACTATTTGGATTATCAATGATAGAGAGACGGAGGCAGTATGAGTGGAATGATTTCTTCACAAAAGGGGTAGTCAATAATGTTAGTGAGCAATTAGCTACTATAATTGACCACGAAAAAGCTTTCAGAAGTACTTGGGAAAAGAGATTTGGTGCTCTTCTGAAACACATCAGTAAGGGGGAAATGATTTCGCAGCTACCGCACGTTGATATCTCATTAGTGGGCAATAACAATAACAATAACAATGACAGTAGCAGTTTCGGTTCTATTCCTATTTTGCAAAAAGTGCAAATTGAGAGAGAGGATATATTGAGTTATATTTCTCTTTTGGAGTCTTCATCATCTGTATCAAAGACATTTCCCGAGTTGTTACAAAAGAATTTTCAGGATATGAGAGCTTCAACTAATAGTATGAAAAGAATTACAAAAATAATCTCTTCTTTGGGGAACTTGACATCAGTTAACGGTAACGGCAACAAACTGAAGAGCCTGGTAAGCGAAGAGAATTTAAGTGAGTTAGATGTTGACATGAATATAGTTAGAGGGTTGAAGTTACGGATAAGCAAACTTGAGAGTCTACTACACCAGCAACAGTACAAGAATATAACAAATTGGCCTGTTATGAGGACTAACTCGTATTCTGACAATAGGATGAGCATGATAATAGATGCTAAGCAGTTTTCGGCAAGTGACATGAAAACGGATCCTACAAAACTACTACAGAGAAGAACGTCATCTAAAGAGAGCAATAGTAGAGGCTCAAACCAGTCGCAAGTACTTGACTCTTCGTCGATTGATAAACATCTTGACAATATCAAACTAAAGAGGAAAAACTCTGACTTGAAGTTGAAGTACGAAACTTTGACAAAAGAGGTTGAAGGCAAGGATGAAACAATTGCTCAATTAAAGCAACACGTTGAAAAGTTGAAAGCAGACCATTCTAAGGAAGTTGAAGTATTGAAAGCCCAAGCTGGAAATGAGGCTGAGAAGTTACGTCTTTATAAACTTGAAGCAAAATTGGATGCGAAAAAGGTTGAAAGCCTTGAAAAGGAACTAAGGATCAAGGATGAAACTATAACATCACTCAATGAAAGACTTATTAAGGACAATAAGAATTCAGCAAAAGATATTATACAGTCAAACGAAACGATATCGTTGTTACGTAATGAGTTGGCGGATGCCACCAGAATGAAAAACGATTTATTATCCAACATGTCATCGAAAGAATCAGAGTTTGCTCAGGAGAGAAAAAATTTGAATGAAGAAGCTGCTATTTTGAAGTTGAAACTCGAAGAGGTGAGTGAAGATTATGAAAACTTGATGGAGTTGACTCAAGTAAAACAAAAGAAGCACGATACGCTTATAAATGACTTGAACAATGTTGTTATTAACCTTATGAACGTCATTAAGCGTATGGCTATTCAATATTTTGGCAATTTTCGGGACATTTGTTATATATTGGAGTCCATGGGACTCCTTTTGGTGAAGGAAGATGAGTTGTACAAAATCAGGAGAGTTAAAGGACTCAAGTCAAGGAAAACCCATGGCGACGAAGACGTGTCTGTCTTGTGCTTAGATATAATTCCAAATTCAAAAGTAATTGAGGAAATGGAAGTAAAGATGTGCTGGGTTGAAGAGATTCCGCCGGCTTTGGAAGTATCAAATCCAGACAGTTATTCGTCTGGTAACGAAAGTGAACTAGTTGTTGATAAGTATAAAGAACAAGCCGATAAATTGCTCGCTGTTTTCACCAAATTGTTTGGCGTTGATTCGCTGTCAAAATTTGGAGCATTTATGAAATCAATTAGTTTTCTGGAGAATGTTCAATTGGTAGATGAAAGTTCAACAAACACTCAATTTTTCGTTAATGCCATTTTGAAAAGATTTAAAGATGTTGAGGGATTTGCTAAACGGTTGAGCAAGGATATAAAAGTTAAAGAACAAGAGTGTAAACGATTGTCTTCAAGGTTGAAGAATAAGATATCGGTAAACAACTTTCAAGAAAATGACTTATTATTGTTTTTACCAACAAAAGTGGATAGAGGAAGTTATGTACCAGATGAAAAATCTCTTCAGCCGTGGGCTGCCTTCAATGTGGGCTCGCCGCATTACTTTTTGCAAAACATAGAGAATCATCAGTTGGTTGGAAGAGAATGGTTAATTGGTCGAGTGAAGAAGATTTCCGAATATAAAGTAACCGAGGCCGAATTTGAATCTGTTGCAGCGAATCCATTCCGCCTTAGTGTGGGTGTTGTTTGGTTCTTGGTTGAAGCAGTTGAAGAAAAGTGAACAAAAAAAAACCAAAAAAATAATGATTGAATTAAATAAAATCTCTGATTTTGATTTTCAATATCCTATCTAACCTTACTCTGGCACATTATTAAATAAATAACTAACACTTTCTCCATTATGTAATCTTCTAATTGCTTCAGCTAAAGTCGGGCTGATATCCAATATTTCTAGTTTGCTACATTTCTCAAGTTTGTCTTCCACAGGCAAGGAATTAGTAGTCACGATTTTGTCCAATTTTGAATTATTCAATTTTTCAATTGCGTTACCTGAAAATATGGCATGTGTAACCATGCAAACAACTTTATTTGCCCCGTTTTCAAGTAGTAGATCTGCTGCTTTGCATAATGTGCCACAAGTGTCGGCAATATCATCTACTAGTATACATATCTTATCCAGAACATCACCAACTAAAACCATCCTTGAAATTTCGTTCGCCTTTTGTCTTTCCTTGTGGATCAATGCAAACTGCACATCCAATTTATCGGCTAGACTAGCTACTCTTTTGGCTCCGCCTGCATCGGGGCTCACCATCAATATATCATCTCGCTCGTAGTTTTCCGTAATATACCTCAATACACTAGGTTCAGCATATAAATTATCAACGGGGACCCGGAAAAATCCTTGTATTTGGCTAGCATGCAAATCCATTGTGATTAAATGATCACAACCCGCAGTTTGTAGTAAATTAGCAACTAATTTCGCAGTTATTGGTGCTCTTGACCTATCCTTTTTATCTTGTCTTGCATAAGGGAAATTTGGTATCACAGCAGTGATTCTTCTTGAACTGGCTGTTTTACAAGCATTGATCATAAAGAGTAGCTCCATTAAGAAATCATTTATTTCTCCACATCCAGTTTGTATTATGTAAACATCTTCATCACGTAATGACTCTCCAATTGCTACTGCTGTCTCGGTATTTGTATATTGAAATGCTCCTACACTGGCTATTGGTATGCCTAACCTTGCCGCTATTTTTTCACAAATGTCCACGTGGGAGTTACCAGCTAGGATCTTGATGGAATTGGCCAAATGTGCATGCATGTTTGAGCTATCGTCGTAGTGCTTATAAGTCGATCTATGCCGAGAAGTGGTGGCCAAAGCTAGCTTTCCCAGTCGTTGATAAGTTTCACGATGACCATATTTGATTGAAAAAAAAAAAAAAATTGAAAAATCAAAACCTGGAGCCTCGTGGCTGCGAAAAGAACAATATATACAGAGAAGTCGAATTAGGACCTTTCAATGGCATTGTACAAAGGTAATGTTGTTATGAGAAAAGGGAGATATTAGTTTGGAAGGCTGGGGGAGGGGGATACAAGTTTGGAAGGCTGGGGGGAGGACTTTTCCTTTTCAAAAAGCTTTTCTATTTTCAAAGATTCAGTTTATAACTAGACCCAGGAGTCATCTGAATCATTTTCAAAATCGCACTAGCTTCTCTTTCTCCACTAAGCCAAGCTCCATGAACACATCCATTAGCAGACCCATCCACAGTTTCCGCCCCGGCAAACCTAATTCTTTCTTCATTACCATAATCTCTTTCCACAAAGTTCCTAATCACTTTTGATGGGTCCTTTGTACCCACCAAACTAACACCGTAAGAGCCTCTGCTAAAAATATGATTATTCCATGGTGTGCAGTATAAGTTCGTTGGATTTGGAATCTTTCCTACCATGTTATCAGAGATCTGTGCAATTAGCGGTTTGAAGAGCAGCCATACTTTATCCTGGTTTGACTTTTTACAAAGATCTTCAATATATTGAGATATAGGATTTTGAGTCAATATGACTAAAGATGCAACTTCACAAATCGACTGATAATTTATAATCAATGCCGGAAAATCCCATGGTTTGACATTATCACTGGGAACATTACTTGTCAATGCATAAAATCTATCAACATCACGAGGCCAGAAACACTCTTTGAATTCTAGTACCACTTTCCCAAGAGACCCAAAATTGATATCTTCAAGTGCCAGACCAATACACTGTGGTACTTTGGGAACCCATTGGATATAAGATGGATCTCTAGGGTTATCAATTTTCAAAATCGATTGTGGAATAGTGATTACTAAATAATCACAGCTGTACCTTCTCTCGTCAGTTAAATGAAGATAAATTTTGTTTGAGCTGGTATAGTCGATTTTCCAAACTTGTGCATTGAGCTTGATAGAGCTATCTCTATAGACCCTTGGCAACTCTTTTATTTCGTTAATTAGTACCTTCTCATATCCACTCTTAACCAAAACGTTTCTTCCCAAATGATTATCAAAATTTTCCTGCAAAGAGTATTTTGCTGATAATTTATCCCAAGATTCACCAAGCCATAACTCAGCCCACATTCGAATAACACTAGGACAGTACTTCAATTGATGGGAGCTCAACCTATTTCGAAAAGCCTCACAATACTCAAAACACATTTCCATAATAGACATATCTTTTTTCAAGGGGTCATCAGTATACTGTAATGCCGAATAAGTGAAAAACTCTGAAACAACAGTGTCAAATTTCCATGTTTCAATATTTGGCTCAGTCTCATTGAAGAATATAGACTTGCCATCATCAAAATAATACTCAACGTCCCCCAAAGCAATAGCTTTGTCGAAAAGGGGATTCTTCAAACTATCATGAAACCAGCTTGCACCCAAATCATAAACTGTACCTTGTTTTTCCAATGATTTCATAGTTAGAATACGACCACCTAATCTACTTGTTGCTTCAAGAATAAGCGTATCTTTTATACCGCCATTGTATAAATCAATAGCGGTTTTAACACCAGACATTCCTCCGCCAATGATAACAACCGACTTGTGAGGTACCACCATTCTAGCGACTGTAAACACTATCGACACTATCGACACTATCGACACTATCGAGCAGAGCGAGATAGTGGAGAATCACTGACAAACACTGACCACTGACCAACACTATCGAGCAGAGCGAGATAGTGGAATAGATCTGTCACCGACACTGACAAACCCGTGATCAAAGGATAGTTCAAGAGATGTCCCCGTAATTAAAAAAAGCTCTACCCCCGTAATTAAAAAAAGATCTTTCCCCGTAATTAGAAAAGATCTTTCCCCGTAATTGGAAAAGTTATACCCCCGTAATTAGATAAACTCTTTCCCCGCATTTAGAACAGCTCTTTCCTCGTAATTAAAAAAGGGATCTTTCCCCGTAATTAGATAAGCTCTTTTTCCGTAATTATACAAACTCTACTCCGGTTGTACAAATCTTTATATATAGATATATAGAGTAGAATCTAGTGAAAGAGAGTAGTCGAGTAGAATCTAGTAAAGATTGAAGTAGAGAAGAGGAAAGGAGGAGACCAGCTGATAATAGTAGAAGCTAGTCAGTGCTGCTCGATAGTGTCGGTGGCAGCTAGTGTAGCACTTGTAAAGTATGCTCTACTGTCTATGTCTAACCCTGCTTTGTACATCCATAGAGAGCCCTCTTTGAAATTTCTCCTCATCTCCATTTGTGCTTCACTAGGGAGCGAAGCGAGCTAGTGAAGCAACACTTAGTACCTTGTAGGTGTAAGAGGTAAAGTAAAAGTTAAGTGTAGGTGCAAGAGGTGTAGGTAAGTGTAGGTGCAAGAGGTGCAGCAAAGTGTGTTAATAGAGGGTTTAGAGAAGCCTCGCGTTTTCTGGTGAACACTATCTCGCTCTGCTCGATAGTGGAGCACGAGACGAATCAAATATCAACATTCCTCCGCTCTCAGTAGAACCTTCCTTATTCTTTCTTTACAGGTCTTATTTTGAACTGAAAAAGATAAAACCATAGAGGGTACCTCGCAAGGGGTGCGCTTGTCAGACAAGGCGGGTAGTACTTATTGACAATACCGAGGAACTATATGTAGAGTAGGAAAGATTTGCATAGTAGGTAAATTTTATAGTCTGTTCATTACTTTAGTACTAGAATGAGATAAAACTCTCTTAGGCGTCAGTGTCGGTGACAGGCATGCACCACTAGCTCGCTTCGCTCCCTAGTGTCGAGATAAAAAGTATGATAAAATGATAATAAACAGAGATATGCTAAAGAAACATCTATAGAGTTATAGAAAGAACTATAAGTAATGTAGATTGATAGGGAAAATCAGCATCAAGCTAATTTCCACTCCATAATTCTCAATCATCGCTCTGCTCGATAGTGTCAGTGGCAGATAGTGTCAGTGTAGTCAGTGTAGTCAGTGTAGTCAGTGTAGTCAGTGTAGTCAGTGTAGTCAGTATAGTCAGTGTAGTCAGTGTAGTCAGTGTAGTCAGTATAGTCAATGCTGCTCCACTATCTCGCTCCGCTCGATAGTGTCGATAGTGTCGATATTGATCGTCTACCCTTTCATAATGCAGTCTTGCAATCCAACAATTTCACCCATTAAACTCATATACTCCTGGATAAAAGAGTTAAACACCCACCAATTTCCAAAGCTATTCTCACTAGTCAGTGCTTGTGGGTTCAGATGAAACTTCAGTTGCGCTTCGGTACCGCTTGTGCCTAGATGGATATTGTTATCATCCAGTCTCTGCTGCTGCTGCTGTTGCTGTTGTTGTTGCTGTTGCTGTTGCTGTTGTTGTTGTTGTTGCTGTTGCTGTTGCTGCTGTTGCTGCTGTTGCTGTTGTTGTTGTTGCTGTTGCTGTAATTGAGTCTGTTGCTGTTTAAGAAAAATGTACTTTAGAATGTCATTCAAAATGTAAGCGATATAGTTGTTGTAGATCAATATCGGGTACTTTGATTTGAAATGGCTTGATAGTAGTTTCTGGTCAATTAATCCAATCAAAGAGTTTAATTTGGCCATTTCTTTAGTAGTTAAAACTGTCTCTGAATGATCATCGGTCATTGTGGACTTGGTTGTACCAGAAGCAAGACTGGAGTGTTGGTGATGGGAACTATGTGGCGATAAATTTGTTAGATCAACTTGAGTTTCAATGTTTTCTTCATGCAAAATGTTGGAATGACGTTGACGTTGATGTTTGTGTTGCCGTTCTTTAGTCTCCTTTGATTCCTCTAATTCTTCTGACTCTTCTTCCCCCTTCTCCTCGTCATCTTCATAATAATTAGAGCTTAGGAACTTCAGCAAATCGTTTTTAAAAAACTCATCAACAACGTTTATCTCCTCGGTTATAAAATTCATTGAAATAGACGACTTTAACTCATTATTTATAGTAGGATCATAATTATACCCAATTAATGCATAAATCAAATCATTTGACAAAATATCATTCTTAAAATTGAAGCTAAGCTCACCCATTGAAGTTGTATTCAAATTGAAGAAAAAGTTATGGTTATTGCCATCTGTATCGTCGTCGTCCAATTTAATAGTTTGTGAGTTAATCGTGAGAAAGTTTTCAATATCGTTAAACATCATAGTTTTAGATTTCTTCTTGTTGATGAGCTTGATGAAGGTGATCAATAGGTCATTTAAATTGATTAGTTTCTTCAACAGAATAAGAAAAATGGTGGAATTGCCAAGTGGGAACTTATCTGAATCAATAACCTTCAATTCCTGATTCAAATTGTTAATCAAATGTAACAAGTTCAATCGCAAGTTTTTTAAAAGGTTTATATCCGCTGATGCTTTAATCAAAAGGAGATATGGCAATACTTCCAATATGACAACAAGATACAATGAAAGATCAATATTCTTTGACTCTCGCAATATCTGATCCTCCAGCATTGGCCTAATAACTGATACAACAAGGTTCTTCAACAAACTATGATTATTACTCAAATTTGAATTCTTCAAAAGAATCTCACAAACTAAAGTACGGTCAATTTGTGGATTACGAGAATAAACATCATCAAGTAAAATCTGAAACCAATTGTTCTTATTTTGATTCAACACTGTGAAATTACTATCATTAGGATACATCAAAAACGGTTTGACAAATGATAATCTTGGAGAAGAAATCGAATTTGAACTTCTTGCTGTTTTTGTTGTTGTGGTGCTAATGGTGTTTGCGGTTTTTCCTGTTCCAGTAGTGGTAGTTGCAGAAGTTATTGCAGTAGTTGCAGTCGCTTCGGTTCCACCTTCTTCTGCCTGCACGGAAAATGGCTCACTAACTTGTCCAAGTTTAAATTTCAGTTTAGACAAGCTACGTTTGTGTCCATGTGTCTTCTTAGGGGTACCTAAACCAGTTGAGTCAGCAGATGATGGTCCTAATGATGTCATGAACATCTTTTGTCTACTATTTCCATGTTCACTACTAAAGATTTCACTCAAATCTTGTATATCATGATTTTCACACAACTGTTTCATTGAGTCATTAATAATATTTTCATTCCAAATCACACCCAAGTAATTGTACTTTGATTCACCACGACTTCCCAACCTCTTGATCAACAAGTTTGGATAAACCATCTTAATTAGTTTGCCCAACTTGGATTGTCCCAAGATTAATTTTTGTTGTTCATTTGTCGTATTTGATGAACTTGGATAGCTTGCAATCAACTTCTGACATATAATATAGTACGTCTTGTAAATTGATAATCTTGGTATGGTATAATTCTGAGGATCTTCATCTGAAGTAAGCGGTAATTGAATCATCATATCACTAAGTATTTTAATAGCAAGAAACGTCCTCAACAACTCATGATAATTGATACTGCCCAATTTATTTTCCTTATCAGTATGATTTGGGAAATAATCATTGAATGAATTTGGGTTTTTAAAAGTATTTAACAACAGGTTGATAATATGAACACTAATCTCTGTACTACTTGGCGAAACAGGCGTTTTATCAAGTTTTTGATAAAAATTGAAATTGGTAATATATGGTCTTTGTCTATCATTGTTGTATAATAAATTATAAAAGTCGTCCAAGGGAAAGGGCATATTGATTTTATATATAACCGAAAGAAGATAATTGTTTATGTTAGATCCATCAACAGTAGTTAAATTGAATAATAAATCATTAAGTATGGCGTTGCTTTCTTTTGTTAAGCGTCTAGAAGATGTGTCCAGCTGATCAGGTGTATTGTGGTTATTATTTAAATTAAACAAAGTAAGATGCGATGATATAGACAAATTATTCTTTTGGTGCTGTCTAAATGCAGATGAAAGTCCTACTGTTGAGGGAGCAGCGCCACCTCCATAAGGCTGAGGTGTAACTGAGGGTACCAAAGACGATGATGTTGAAAAAGTGCCGGGAACAGGAAACTGTTTTGTATTTGGACCCGAATGCAAAGATGTAAATGGTTGTGCAAATGATGATGATGACGATGAGGAAATACCACCTGAGGTGCTGTTGGCAGCTCCACCAGCGCCTTCTAATAGTGAAAATGAAGAAGGTTGTGCTGTCAGTGGTGGTGCTGGTACCGCCGGTACTAGTCCCGGCGGCGGGATATGCGACGCGGCGGTACCGAATGCAAATGATGATGAAACATGAGAATTGCCACTATTACTATTATTTCCAAACATAGTAGGTAGTGGCTGATGAAATTGAGATGTTTGATAGTCAGTTGAAGGTGGAAGAGGGTGGTGTAAATGCAGCAGCAGCAGCAGAAGCAGTAGCTGGTGATTTTGATTACCATATACTTGGTCATGATAATATGTTCCCAGGTAGAAAAAAGACGGTTGATGATAACTAGTGCCTACTATGTTACTGGAGGAAGCAGATGTCGAAGGAGGTTGGTCTGAACTGGGGTCAAATGCTGCAGAAGCAACCCGTTTCAAACTTGATGTTGCAAGGCCTTGTTGAGTCTCATGCTGATAATCTACCTGGAGCCTGCTCGACGTAGATGACTTTGGTCTATTCCCACTGAGATCAGTCAGAGGATAGTTGTAATTTGAATATGACTCGGAATCTTCAATTGGAGGGTTAGACGCATGGCTAAATGGAGGTAATATCGGTTGTTGCAGTTGCAGTTGGTGCAGTTGGTGCAGTTGGTGCAGTTGGTGCAGTTGTCGTTGATTCTGTGGTGCACCTTTTGATGATGACGCAGTCAACGGCGATACTTGTGATGACTCCTGTTTGCTGAAATAAAAGCCCGTATTCAGTACTGACGACTTTTGTCGTTTATGAGCCTTTTGCGGCGAAGAAGACATGGTCTCTTTTTGCTTTGCAAGTGTTTTGTAGTGGCGATGTGTTTAATACCAGCTAAAGAACAAACTACCACGATATTGGGGGGAGATTCAATAGTTAGAAACCAATAAAGCCAAGGGTGCTTATAAGATGTTTGTCAGTTTGGTACCTTCTACTTTTGAAAGTAACATTCACTCCAACAGCTCAAGGACACTTTCAAATCAACAATATCCCAGTTTTCTGGTATTTCTTATCTAACAATATAAGTATCCTGCTCAGATATTGGAAATGGTTGTGATAATTTTCTTGGGCTGGATGTTGCTGGATTATTTCTCATTCAGGGGCAAGTCAACAGGTACGAAAAGTCAGGATATTGACCAGGACCAGGAGGGAGGACAATTGGCTTTATTGGTACTGAATAGAAATTTTCAATTAAACAGCCCGCCTGATTCTTCAAAGGAGATATAACCCGTCTGAATACACAAGGGTTGGTTTGAATACACAAGGGTTGGTTTGAATATTGTTTTCCTGTCAAAGTTGTAGATAGACCAAGCTTCTAGTAAGATTAGTCCCTAATCCGATTGCAAATACTCAGATCCCAACTCCTTTTGCGGTATCGATTGTACCCGATCCTCTATTTTTTCGCAGTATATATGCTTTGGCTGCGAAAAAGGAAAAAAAAAAAAAAGAAACCTATAAAACCAAAAATAATTAATGAATTTGAACTCGTTTAATTAAATTGAAATTGAGCCCCGTTATTTCTTTTTCCTCTAGTCTTGGCAGATCAAGTGTAGATTTATGTAAGTTGATGCGAATGTCGTACGGTTCGGGGAGGGGGGGGGGGGAATATAATATAATACTTTTAGCTAAACAAATTAAAGTGAGGAGCCAGTTGCAGGAGAAAATTTTGTTAGGGGCCAGTTGCAGGAAGAGAGTTTTGTTAGGGGCCAGTGTAGTCAGTGCTGCTCCACTATCTCGCTCTGCCCGATAGTGTCGATTCTAGTTGCTCGATAATGTCTAATCTATAGGTCTTTAGTAACAATGATAAAGATACGATTTCCGATTTCCGATTTGCGTTCCGATTACTAATTACCAATTACCAATTACCAATTACCGATTTAGTGGTTGCGTTTGAGACAAAACCAAGTAAAAGTATCTCCAAAAATCTAAAATCCAAAACCTATAGGAATACCGTGTTTTATACCCTGGTATTTATAAGAAATAAATCAACTTTATTTCAAGTATAGTGACAGAGTTTCAAGAATGCTTAATCTCTTATGGTACTTTCACAATTTTTAGCTGGTATTAACAAACAAACCAAAAAAAAAAAAAATAGGTCAAAAATTAAAAAAGGATCAACGCGCGTCGTTTGGCGATGACCACTGTCGTTGTACCTGTTGTTGAGTAGTGAACAATGAATACTAAGGTGTTGAAAGTCGATGTTAACTGAAAACCAGACGCTAACCCAAAGGGAAAATGTGGAGTAAAAAAAAAAAAAAAAAAAAAAATTGCAGTTGTGAAGACGACTTAGATTTGTTTTGTCAATGATGGGGGATATAATTGTACTGTACGGTACTTTGTTCTCCATCTCGCCTTATATATATAAAAACTCATTCTCTCTTTTTAAAGAGCCCTTTGCTATCTTTATGAGATGTATCATAAGCTTTAGCTCTTCATCTCAACTTTTTACCTCGTGCAATTTTTATGATAAAATTTTGACTTTGTGTAATTTAACCCTAATTTTAAATCACAGTGACACAAAGTTGATATCTTAACTACATTTGCTTAATTAGAAATCATGCCCAGGGCTGCAACATTATAAGGCAGAGTTTAAGCCTATTAGAAAGTATAAAAAGTAGGGTAATATTAATTATACAACCAAACCCTTGTGATGATAATCTGAAAGGCAACATCAATATGATTATAAGAGTTGGCTCATCTCTACCTCTCTTTTTTTTCTTTCTTTTTTTCTTTTTTTTTTTTTTGTCTTTCCTTTTACAGTGGGTCTTATGTAAATTAAGCTCAAACGTTTAAAGTGGTATATTTTAAAGTCACTGTCCAGAAATGCAGCAGTCAGCCAGAAATATAGTAGTATTATTCAGTCAGTCAATTCTCGTCAATCGGTCAGTCAGTCATTTTTCCTTGTTTGCTTGTTTGTTTACTCTGAAATTCGTACAGACAGACATTTTTCTCTATTTTTGATGTGGTGTAACTTTGATTACAAAATCTCATCAGCATTCTTTAATTTAGACAAGTTGATTCATCAGCATTCTCAATTTAGACATATTGTATTGGTAATTATATGAGTGTGTGGGATGTGCCTAGATGTTAGACTTGTTCCCAACCACTTGGTATATGTTAATTATAATTTAGTGTAATTTAGTTTAGTTGATGGTTTTCTTTTTGATGTCCATACTGATATTCATGTTAACGCTGTTTACAGGGAGTCACCTTAAAAAAGGTCCTATTGTCTTGTCTTTTTAGTCAAATGTACCTGAAATACCTGAAATATTGGTATATTTTTTTTTCTCTATAAATGATTTTCAAGAGTGTTTTTATTTTTGCCGTTTTTTCTCGTTTTTTTTTCAATTTTGGCCATGTTTGATTTACAAATTGCATTACTAGTGGTGGTTGATACCACTGGTTAGTATTCACTAAATAAAGTGTGACTAGTATACCCCTTTCTTTCGACCTCTAATGCAAAGGTCAGCTTTGTTCTTTCTCTACCTCTTAAACACAATCATACAAAATTATTACACAGCATACAATTATGATATACACAATAACGTTGTCAATTGATAACAATTAGCCGATCCAAAAAAAAAAAAAAAAAAAAAGGGAAAGAAATATAAATTCGTTGAAAAAAAAAACCGGAAAAAANTTTCAGTGATCAATCCAAGCTACATCAAGAGAGAAAATTAAGGAAAGTTACATTTTCGACTGAGTTGTAGAAATTTCCTTGTAGTGATTAGTTTTGGATGAATTTTCTTGTAGTGATTAGTTTTGGATGAATTTTCTTGTAGTGATTAGTTTTGGATGAATTTTCTTGTAGTGATTAGTTTTGGATGAATTTTCTTGTAGTGATTAGTTTTGGATGAATTTTCTTGTAGTGATTAGTTTTGGATGAATTTTCTTGTAGTGATTAGTTTTGGATGAATTTCCATGTAGTGATTGGTTTTGGATGAATAAAAAAGAGAAAGAGACTGTGATAGGCTGAGATAAACTAATACTACATAAAGCAAAACATGTAGGCTTGATTTGACTTTCTTCCATTGCAGAAAACTTTGAGTGATGGTAATTCATTTTGACAAAGTTAAAAATCTGTCTAGTCTATTGTCAATTTTTTTACATGTGTATTTAAACAAAGCAAAGCTATTAAAAGCTTATACAATCTCACAAATTGCTATCCAAACAAGTCAAAGAAACAAAACCAATAGGGGGTAAAAAAAAAGAGGCTAGGATTTCAGGTTATTATTCATCCAAGCACAATCAGTTTTCTACTATAGAAGAAGTACAAAACAAGATGAGGACCCTTTATTGTTATTGTTATTGTCATTGTTATTATTATTATTATTGGTGGTGGCATTATTATTAAATGACGCTTGGTAGCGACCAACCAGGATAATACAAAGATCTTTTAGTTGTAATGTCGATATCCAGATACCCTAAATAACAGCTTATATTCCACAACTTTAAGCTTATAGAATTATATATGGTTCATGGTAAAAATACCTCTAACCCTTAAAACTGCCTAAGACTGTTTTTTTTTAAAAAAAATCTCTTTGTTCTTTCTTAGCTATAAACAAGAAGGACCATCTTGATGTTGCTTAAGAAATGCGATTTCTACTCTGAATTGTACCAATTTGTATGTAACAACAGAAGGTCACGAGCAACACTGACTATCTCTATAGCACTATTGAGCAACACTGACTATCTCTATAGCACTATTGATACTCAATTGTGCTCCACTATCTCGCTCTGCTCGATAGTGACTAGTGGCACTTAAGATATTTACTATCTAAAGATATCAATATACCTATTTAACTTAGATTCTTTTAACAGGCATCAAAATCAAGTTTTCATCCATCATTTGTTCTTTTTGTTCATAGACTATTTAACAACGATGACCAAAAGTGTCTGCATTACAAAGATCAATTATTCTCGTATAATAAAATTATCAATGTGACATTACATTCTCTTGATCTCGCTCAAATTCAATTGATCAATATATATATATATATACATAAACAAATTAGAGTACGGCTTAGTCCCATGTAATTCCCCAAATCTCATGTCTATGCTCATGAAACTACGTCTCAAGGAGCTCGACACTTGAACCGGGATATTGCAAACCTTGGATCGACCAAGGAAAAACAAGAGTCACAATAGAAAAAAGAGGAACAATTTTCCAATAATGCCTTTCTAAGAGATTCAAATTTGATTTTTTTTTTTTTAAGAATCATTACTGATTGATATATACAACTTAAACACAGATACGGTCACACCCTGCAACCTTTCTGCCCCGCATATCTTCCAACAAAATAATCAAGTAGCGCATTAGGGTTCACCTATTATTAACTCTCTATACGCTATCGAGCGGAACGAGATAGTGGACCACTGACTAGTGACACTAGTAATACTATGTAAGGGGGAAAGAGAGAGGTGATTCCCGTCACGCGTTGCCTATCGTCCATCGCCATTGCTCATCGCCCCATCCCCTGTTCTTCGTAGCCACGGTCTACCTCTATCATCCCCCCTCCCTTTTCCCCCTCAACCAACTGATAACCATTAATTTTTTTTTTTATTCTACTTTGTTTAATTTGACTTCAATTTTATTCAACATCTTTAAAATTGAAAACATTGAGAGATTGAGTATCCATATAACCTCAGAGAAACTTTGTTGCTAGACGGCTTGCCGACTCTACACCTCTAGCTATACTCTCTTTTCAAACAAGTCAAGTGCAATTTTATCAACACATTTTTTTTTTTTTCATCATCTATTTAATCTCTTTCAAAACTCTACAACTTAGCTTTATCACCCAATAATCCCTTAACCAAAACATCTTGCATTTGGTTAGCACTATCAACTAAATACCATTTCAAGTGATCAGATTTCAATCCGTTTCCTTTCTTACAAGAAATATGAACATGGATCCAATCATTGTTGATCAAATAAGCTAATCCAAATCCATCATCAATCACTTGTGACCAACCCCAAGATTGGAAGAATTCTGATGGTACTTGCGATGACGATAAATACCATGTCTGAGAATATGTAAATATTGGATCTTGGAATATTTCAGGAACAGGCTCTCCTGGTTTCAACATTGACTTCAATCCAAACAAATGACGATCTACCCCTTTTCCATCTGCTGCTTCTGATAAGTAAGCCACATGCTGCTTGGTGGCTGCTTGGAATGTAGCTACTTTTTCTTCAATAGTAGAAGTTGGATCAGTCCATGTTTCAACAAACTTCTTAGACTCATTTGAGACAGTTCTTCCAGTTTCGGTTCTTCCTTTCAAAAATTTTCTTGTTGCTGCTGATTCATAAGTTGGTCTAACTTTACCAGTGAGTTTGTAATAAGCCAATTGCATCAACATTTGAACATAAGCATCTGGTGAAGTTTTGAATTTCTTAATCAATCCTTTACCATATCCGTAATGTTGAAATATTTCTTCGTCATGAGAAGCAATAGTCTCATTGAATTTGGCAATTGCTGAAGAAATATTAGCTCTTGTTGTAGGATTATAATCAAATTGCAAAATCTCTGCTCCTCCCTTAATTCTAGGAGCTACACTAGAAATTTCAGAAATCAATTCTTCAGGATCAGTTTCTGCAATTTGTTTCAAAACAGTATTATTTAATTGAACTGTTGGAGTAGCATCCATTCTTGAATGTTCACCAAGGAACCCAGAATTACCATTTGCACTAACGAAAAATTCCAAAGGTTTGTCAAAAAATCTATTTTGACCATTTCCATGCCAGCAATTCTTTGATTTTTCTTCAATAGTAATTGGAGTGTTTTCATCTAAGCAAATTACAAATGTCGAGGCAAAAATATCTGTTAATGAAGCTTGATTAATTGGCGACTTTAACAAATTTTGATAAGCTGATAACCATTCATCTCTGTTTAATGAAGTTAATGCACCTAAACCAATACCCTTTGGTGTTGGATCATTTTTCACCTGTTGCAAATAGCTATAAATTTGGCCCTTACTCAACTTTTCACCTTGTTCATTATGGGTTGGAACCTTGTAGAAATTGTTTTTATAAATAACAATGAAAAACCGATTTGTATCAGGATTGTAATGTTGAGTGATATCTGAGCCTGGAGCTGGTACTCTTGAGTTGTTGAACATGTATCTGAAAGCATTCATACAAAATGGATTTCCCTTAATTACTTCAGGCTGCAATGTTTCGTTCTGGACCTTTTCAGCAAATTCAATAGTATAGTAAGCTAATAAAGTAGCCTTTAACAATTGATCATGACCAATGGTATTTTTCAAATCCTTGTGTGAGAAAAAATAAGAAACAAAGGGAACAATAGGATCTCTATATGACATGTAAGCATAATCATCCCAGAATTCAGCCAACCAATTATCTTTAGTTTTAGCAAATTCATTTAATCTCTTTTGTAAAACTTCTCCAAACCCACCTGGCTTGGTAAAAGTTTCAACTTTGGCTTTTGATTCTGCCAATTGTTGTTCATTTAAAAACGGTTCAATCGTCTTGATATATTTGGAAGCAGTTTCTTCTAAATTTGGAACCGGCAATTTGGGTAATTGTGATTGAAACTTATAAGTCTCACCTTTAGCAGAACTTGAAGAAAATGGTTTATGAAGTAATACAGGCATTGTGACTATTTGAAAAGCTGACGACTTAAATAATAACTGTGGTTTAGCAATACTAGACTTCAACATCTGATTATCTAGAAACGAAACCCTTAAATATATATTAAAAAAAAAGGAAAAAGACCAAGAGGCACTATACCAAAAAGTTTTTCTTCTCCCACTTTTTCAACAAAGGACTAAAGGACAAAGGATATAAACTTGAGAGGGAAAAAAACTATTCTATTTATATCAAACCCGTATCAAGCCTCTTTTTTATTTTTTCCTTTCGATATAATCTCACCCCTTTTGGTTAATGCACCCACGAGTATTGAAACAATTAAACGAATAAGAAGGCGTTTCTTTATTAATTTTTCACTTTTTAAAAAACTCCGTTATAGTGAAAAATAAATACCATCTTATGATTTTTGTGGGGAAGAGAAAGAATAGTATTGATGTATGGATTTAGGGTAATACGAAACTTGGATATTTGATGCTACCAGGTGTTTTATAACCGAGGCACTAGAAAATAATACGAGCAACACTATCGACACTATCGACACTATCGAGCGAAGCGAGATAGTGTTGTGACAAGCTACTAAGTATTATATCGAGCGAAGCGAGATAGTGTTGTGACAAGCTACCAAGTATTACTATCGAGCGAAGCGAGATAGTGTTGTACAAGCTACTAAGTATTACTATCGAGCGAAGCGAGATAGTGTTGTACAAGCTACTAAGTATTACTATCGAGCAAAGCGAGATAGTGTTGTAACAAGCTACTAAGTATTGCTCCACTATCGAGCGACACTATTGACACTATTTTGCTCGCTCTGCTCGATAGTGGACCACCATTGACTAATACTAATATACTATGCTATCTCATAGATCATCCTAATAATCTAAGATTTATGATACTACCTGGTGCTATGCAACCGCGGTACTAGAAAAAAAATACAAAACACGTTTGGTAGCATTACAATCAGTCGGTGTTGCTTTTCCTTTTTAGGACAAACACTATCGAGCGAAGCGAGATAGTGTTGTAACAAGCTACTAAGTATTACTATCGAGCGAAGCGAGATAGTGTTGTAACAAGCTACTAAGTATTATATCGAGCGAAGCGAGATAGTGTTGTGACAAGCTACTAAGTATTATATCGAGCGAAGCGAAATAGTGTTGTGACAAGCTACTAAGTATTATATCGAGCGAAGCGAAATAGTGTTGTGACAAGCTACTAAGTATTATATCGAGCGAAGCGAAATAGTGTTGTGACAAGCTACTAAGTATTATATCGAGCGAAGCGAAATAGTGTTGTGACAAGCTACTAAGTATTATATCGAGCGAAGCGAAATAGTGTTGTGACAAGCTACCAAGTATTACTATTTCGCTCTGCCCAATAGTAGAGCACAATTGACTACCGCTCCTAAAGGAAAAGAATAGCAAGAGTTGAATTGATCTTATAGAAAAAGAATAGAAAGAGTTGTTGAAGGAAAAATAACAATCTCGATGATTTTGACCGAGGAAAAAAATTACTGCTTGATAACCCTGACTATGAAGGAAATACTGAATATATAGGAGTAGCTGATAGTAAAGGAGTAGCTGATAGTAAAGGACTAATAAAGAACTAGCTGATTTCACTAAAGGACTAGCTGATTATGTTTTGTAATCATGAATGAGGTCACGTGATAAAAAAGGGAAAGCTCAAAGGACAGTAAAGCTGACAGTAAAGGACTAGCAAACAGTAAAAGACTAGTTAACAGTAAGAGACTAGTTGACAGTACAGGACTAGCAGACAGTACAGGACTAGCTGACTGTAAACGACTAGCAGACAGCACAGGACTAGTTGATTGTAAAGGACTAGCTGATTGTAAAGGACTAGTGACAACGCAGTGTGGTCCACTATCTCATAGATCATCCTAATACTTTAATTGTGAAGCTACCAGGTGCTATACAACCGTGCCACAGAAAAAAAATACGAGACACGTTTGGTAGCAATGTGATCGGTCGGTGTTGCTTTGCCTTTTTAGGACAAATGATCTAAGGGGCCAAGATATTTTTATAGATAAGATATCAAGTACCCTATCGACACTATCGACACTATCGACACTATCGAGCAGAGCGAGATAGTGGAGCACAATTGAGTTGACACTATCGACACTATCGACACTATCGAGCAGAGCGAGATAGTGGAGCACAATTGAGTTGACACTTTCGACACTATCGACACTATCGAGCAGAGCGAGATAGTGGAGCACAATTGAGTAGTGACACTTTCGACACTATCTCGCTCTGCCCGATAGTGGAACACGATTGAGTAGTGACACTCTCGACACTATCTCGCTCTGCCCAATAGTGGAGCACAATTGACTACCGTTCCCAAAGGAAAAGAATAGCAAAATTTGTATTAATGTTAAAGAAAAAAGTACAATCTCGAGAGGGGAAAAAATTACTGTTTGATAACCCGATTATGAAGGATAGGCTGACCATAAAGGAAAAGCTGACCATATAGGAGAGTTGACCATAAAGAAGAAGCTGGTTTTAAAGGAGAAATTGACTATAAAGGAGAAGCTGGTTTTAAAGGAGAAATTGACTATAAAGATGAAGTTTATTATAAAGGTGAATCTATCCAAGTTACAACTAATGAAGCGATATCCCATTAGTTGAAAACAAAGTTTTCAAATCGAGGATTGAGACCTTGACTAATTGGCCTCACCTTATCCCCACTTTATAACCCTATAGAGAAAGTTCAAAAATGTTTCAATTTCCATGTGTAGTCAATGGTGCTCCACTATCTTGCTTTGCTCGATAGTGGAGCAGCACTTTGTAATTTGTTAAGACATTGACTAGTGACACCATCTCATAATACCTTTCATCATTTATCCCTTTTTTCTCTTCTTCGTTTTACCGCCGAAGATTTTTTTAATTTTTTTTTTTTTTTTTTTTTTTTTTTTTTTTTTTTTTTTTTTTTTNTTTTTTTTTTCCCCCAAAATTTTTTTTTTTTTTTTTTTTTTTTTTTTTTTTTTTTTTCCGAGTCTGTTCTACTATGAATATCATCACCATTGGAATATACTTTATTGGACAAGCCCTACTTGTAAAAAGAAGCCTCTCGTCTCCCTTTTCTTCAAATGGACAATAATGGCTCTACCTTGGATCCGATATATCTCGGCAATATTCTTCTTAATTTGGTATATTGTCATCCTCTTAGTAGGTTACAGTGGATTTTTTGAAATATTAATAAAATTTAAAAATCGTAAAGTCCTACCATTGAAAAAGAATAAGGACAAAAACAACAACAACAACAACAACAACAACGAGGAGGAGGAGGAGGAGGATGAAGAGTTGGCAACACTTGAAGGAGTTACGATAATCCGGCCTATCAAAGGAATAGATCCGGAGCTAAGTTCTTGTTTAGAATCATCATTTTTGCAAAACTATCCAAGAGATAAAATTCAATTGTTGTTTTGTGTAGATAATCCCCACGATCCAAGTATACCACTTATACATAAGCTAATCCAAAGGTACCCTACGATAGATGCTGAGATATTGATAAGCGAAAATTACAATGAAGAATTGAAAATAAGTCTGGATCACTATGGTCCTAACCCCAAAGTCAATAATCTAGCTAAAGGTTTTAAAAGAGCGAAATTTGATATCTTGTGGATTATGGATAGCAACGTTTGGGCAAGTTCTAATATATTGAGAAATTCAGTTATTACGTTAAATTCAAATTTGAATAATGGCAGAAGAGTGAGTAATAGTAGGCCGGTGAAATTAGTACATCACGTTCCATTGGCCATATACATTGATGAACCAAGCTCCACCACCGGCAGTAATAATGCAATGAATGACGATTTTGAGAATAGAGTTACTCCAGTTGCATCGGATGAGGATTTCTCGGATACGTCCCAAGTTTCCCAGCTAACAAACAGAAAAGTATCCAAGTTATATTCACAATCAAAATCAAAAAACTCCATCAACAATAAAAAGAAGAAGGAGCTGGGGATAAAAAACATAGGTGCTAAATTAGATGAAATGTTTCTTCATACATCGCATTCAAAGTTTTACGTTTCATTAAATAATCTTGCAATTGCTCCGTGTGTTAACGGAAAATCCAACATTTATCGAAGAACAGATTTGGATCAGTCAGTCAAACTTATTCCATACAAGGACTCGGAATTTTTTCGTGACGCCAAGGTAAAACAGGATGCTTATAAATATACTAGGGAGTCAATTGCTGGAAATGCAATAAAATTATTTGCAAGATATATCGGGGAGGATAACATGATCGGTATAGCCTTGTGGGAGAACTGTAATGGTCGTACTGGGCTTACTGGCGATGTCGTGATCCAGCCGCTTTCTTCCAAGGATAACTATTCCATAAAAGATTATAGCCAAAGAAGAGTACGGTGGTTGAGAGTTCGGAAATATATGGTATTATTGGCAACTTTGATTGAGCCATCAACAGAATCGATAGTATGTGGCATATATGGAACATACGCCATTTCCACATTATTCTTACAACAACATCCTTGGTTTTCATTACGGGTGTTTTTTGTACATATGCTAATTTGGATGGCTACTGATTTTGTTCAGTATAATATTTTGCGTCATCACGTTAAGCATCAAATGAATGATATTATATATTTACCTCAGTGGATGAAAAATATTCATATGGTTTACCCAACTAAGGGCTTTTGTGTATGGTTGTGTATTTGGTGTATTCGGGAGATTTTGGCCTTACCTATATGGATTATTGCAATGTTTGGTCATGAGATAGATTGGAGAGGTGCTCCTTTTAGGATTAAGAAGGACTTGACGGCGGAAGAATTATAGAAGGAATAACTTGAAGAGAAAAGGAGATGCGAGTAGATAGATGATAATAGAGAAAAGGAGGCTGACAGTATAGAGCAGAGCGAGATAGTGGAGCACCACTGACACTATCGAGCAAAGCGAGATAGTGTCGGTGGCAGCTATGTATATAAGAGTTCAGTATCGGTGGCAGCTATGTATATAAGAGTTCAGTATCGGTGGCAGCTATGTATATAAGAGTTCAGTATCGGTGGCAGCTATGTATATAAGAGTTCAGTATCGGTGGCAGCTATGTATATAAGAGTTCAGTATCGGTGGCAGCTATGTATATAAGAGTTCAGTATCGGTGGCAGCTATGTATATAAGAGGTATCGGTGGTAGCTGTGTATGTAAGAGGTATAGGTGGTAGCTGTGTATATAAGAGGTGAGTGTCCTAAAAGTCAAATCACGTGATCTTAATTTGAAACTGAGACTAAAAGCTTTGAAGGAAGATTGAATTGAGCCCCCCTGAAACTGAAAAATTGCGACACTAACGACCAGAGCGAGTTGGTGGAGCAGCACTTTGTAGTTTGTTAAAACACTAACTAGTGATACTATCGAGCAGAGCGAGTTGGTGGAGCACCATTGACTAGTGATACTATCGAGCAGAGCGAGTTGGTGGAGCACCATTGACTAGTGACACCATCTCGCTCTGCTCGATAGTGTCGATAGTCGATAGTGTGACAGATGTAGCCAAATGCAGCCAGATGTAACCAGGCAAAGAAAGAACATCAACGACAAGAACAAAAAAACGCGCCATTTCCTTATAATATGATTCAATGATATCGTACTATATTTTGTTTTAAAGTTACTGAAAACAATAGAACAAACTGGTGTCATAAGTTGATTCATTTGCAAAGTCTTGTCCTCACCATCTTACAATCTCAATCTTACAAGCACAATTTACTCCCTTCCTTCTCTTTTCGTCCTATTTATCATTCACCATCCTCCTCATCTCTTTCTTTCTCTTTATTCCCTAGCATTGTTTCATTGCTGAGTTTTATCTCATACACGGGTTTTAGCTCTGCTCGATAGTAATCCCTCGACACGGGTTTTATTCGATAGTAATCCCTCGACACGGGTTTTATTCGATAGTAATCCCTCGACACGGGTTTTATTCGATAGTAATCCCTCGACACGGGTTTTATTCGATAGTAATCCCTCGACACGGGTTTTATTCGATAGTAATCCCTCGACACGGGTTTTATTGTGCTCCACTATCTGGCTCTGCTCGATAGTAGATCTATAATTACTTTAATCGGTAAACTTTCCTTACCCAGATCAAACAAGTAAAGCATCAGGGAAGGCATTAGGGAAAGCATTAGAAGGAAAGCATTAGAAGCAAACATTAGCAATGAAGCATTAAAAATACAAAGGCTTTTGATCAAAGTTGTAACTGTATACTAGTAAATACCTTTACATCTAAAAAAAAAAAGACAAAAGTGGAGAGCTTACTCGAGTAATCTCTATTTCAATATCAATCCCCCCCCATTTTCCAAACTACCCCTGCCACCTCATCCAATATCGTCCACCCCGGACCTCATCCACCCCGGACCTCATCCACCCCCAACCTCCTCCATCATATTCCCCTCCACTTCCTTCCCCCTCTTAATTAGGTAAGAAAAATAAAGTCAAAAAAAAAAAAAGAGCTTAACAAGGTATTTCTTCTTTAGGTGAAAATCATAAAAAATTTTCGTGTCACAATTGGTGGCTTCTTGTTTAAAGGAAAGCCAAAGAAATTAAATAAAGAGAGAAGAGAAGAAAAAAAAAAAGGGTAACCTTTGTTAATTCACTTTAGAACTTGGTAAATTGACTAATTGGCTAATTGGCTTTGGCTTTGGATCACTACCAAAGAAGATTGCAGAGCATCAAAAATTATCCCGCTATAACCACCTATTTTCCTTACCACAGCCCTTTGCTCACTCACCCTGATCACGTCCTGTTGTGTTGCTCACTTTTGACAGATATCTATTGGCAAACATCCCCCCCCCCTCCCCCCTCCCCCCGGCTACCATCTTTTCTCCCAAGCTTTACTACACGTGCACTTTTATTCACTCATTGGGCTTCTGAGCTTCTAGGCTTCTAGTTGGATTTACTCATTGTGGGCTTCTAGTTGGATTTGACTCATTGTGGGCTTCTAGCTGGATTTACTTTTATTCACGTATTGGGCTTCTAGGCTTCTAGTTGGATTTAACTCATTGCGGTCTTCTAGGCTTCTAGTTGGATTTACTTTTATTCACGCATTGCGGTCTTCTAGGCTTCTAGTTTTGTTGGTTTGGCTTGGATACGATACCAAGGTTTAATTTTCCAAAATTTTTCCAACTATGTCAGAGATAATGACCAGCTCGAGTCTATATAACCCATCGCCAACAAGTCATACTCATGCTCATGCTCATGCTCATGCTGCAGCGGCTTCGGCTTCGGCTTTGGCTGCCGGTGGTGCTACTCACGACTCCCAAAGACAGCGCGAGGTTTGCAAGAAATGTAACCAATTAATTATTGAAGGACACGCTTATGAGCTAGGAGAGGACAGATGGCATATTGACTGTTTCAACTGCTCCAAATGCAATACTTCGCTAGGATGTAACTCGAATTTTTTGGTGTTGGGGAATGGCAATTTGATCTGCTCTAATTGCTCGTATAATTGCAAGCAATGTGGCAGGAAAATTGACGATTTGGCTATATTAACAGGCGACCAAGCTTACTGCTCGACTTGTTTCAAGTGTCGCTCGTGTAAAAACAAGATTGAGGACTTGCGGTATGCAAGAACCTCAAAGGGGCTATTTTGTATGGATTGTCATGAAAAGTTGATGGCAAAGAAGAAAAAGTACGATGCAAAAAAGAAACATTTGGCTTTATTGCAGCAGAAGCAACAACAATTGGAGAGAGAAAGAGAACGGAAGAGAGAAAGAGAAAGAGAAAGAGAAGCACTGGAACTTCATAAAAAGTCCGGTGCCAATAACTCCAAGAATAATCTAATTCAATCGCTAAACAACCCCGGTAGTTCAAGAATAAGCATTTATGACCAGGAAAACAACTCGGTGTCCTCAATTAGTTCCAAGACCAAGAATAAAACAAAGACATTACCATTACCTCCCACAATTAATGGAGGAGCCAACTATTCCCAAAAGGAAACCCCAAATCCAAGTGGAAATGTTACAACAATTACGACATCATCGTCATCATCATCATCACCAGCAGCACCAGCAGCACCATCAGCACCATCATCGACATCTTTATTACACCCAGCTCACTTTTCTCAAGAAAAAGTTATGCACAGCACCCCTCATGCAAGTAAAAATTCACCGATTAGTTCAAATCATATCCAGGATAACCATGTTTCCAATCAAGCGGAAAATGACTTTTTAATTGAAGAAGTACAAAATCTTTCAGATTCAGATTCAAACGATGAAGAAAAACACATTGCAAATGGAACTACTTTAAGAAACAAACATTCTCGCACAAGACTGATGAATCAATATTCAACTCCAACAATGTCAATGGACCAATCAAGTCCATTAGACTCGACTGAAATAAGTGACGAACATACAATTCATATGGAGATTGTAGGTACACCATCAGATGGCGACTATTCAAGCAATCAATCACAACAAGTCAATCAGTTGAAACCAGCAGCCGACGTCACTCCAAAAGCAGCCCTAAAAAGAGAAGAACATCAACAACAACAACAACAACAACAACAACAACAACAACAACATCATCATCAACATCAACAACAACATCATCGTCAACAACTGTTGCTGCTGCTGCTGCTGCTGCAACATGGAGATGTCAAGAGTAAGAATCTACTTATCCTCTCTCCAAATCAATACCATGATAATGAATTTCACAATACTACAATAAAATCACCAATAGTTGAGACACCGGGTACACTAGTTAGTCGAAGCTCGAGTCTTCAAAGCGTTACTAATATAAAACCTCAAACAATGACAGTTGAGGAGTTTTCAAGGTCAACTTGTAGCTCTCCATTTGCCAAAGCAAATAGACAAGCTAGAGTGGTGGAAACCAATGATGATATCTTGACGGACATTGGTGATGGGAGCGATATAGTACCACAGATTGTGAGTACACCGCCACAAAAAGAACCAAACTCCAAAGGAAATAGCTCGGCAAGCGGCGCCGGAGGACCACCAATCTCTCTAGCTTCACCACCACCAAAACTACCATTACCAAGTACACCTGTTAAGAAAAAGGATCCGTTTGGTGGCTTTGGGTATAAATACGACGAGTCAGCACCACATGGACTAGGATTAGAAGGAGTTTCATATGGAAACTATGAAAACGAACACGATTCTAGACTTAACTCGTGGAGACATGTAGACAATAGACATGAAGATGAAGTCTTTTTTAGACAATCTCATAATAAAACTGGCATTCCAATAACATCACAGAACGTTTTAGGTACACGAATAATCGGCAATATAACACCAGCAGTAACGAATTTGGAGCAAGAGCAAGAATCATCTTCATCGCAGCAGCAGCAGCAGCAGCAGCAACAACAACAACAACAACAACTTCCGGCTCTGTCCAAAGAAGGCAGCAACAACATACTTCGTACCACTTCCTTGATTCGTAATTTAAAGCATAAACGTTCAGTTTCGGGTAGTAACCAATCTACTAAGTTTGGATTCTTTAAATCACCCCGAGAGGAAAGTAATCCAAAAGCACCAGGGGGACATTCACGTCACATCTCTGATGGGTCAATTGCAAGTACTGTATTGAATAATTATTTTGCGCCAGCTCATTTCAATGGGACTTCGCCAAATAGTCATCACACACGACTGGTTTCGGATTATACAACAATGATAGGCGAAGGAGAGCATTATGATACGAAAATGATGAAACACGAATTACAAAAATTGGCAAGTGACAAGGAACTTGTAGATCATGATTTGAAAAGATTAAAGAATGAAAAAGTGAAATTAACCGAGCAATTGAAAAGCCTACAATCTAAAATAACCGAGGAGTCTATTAGATATGATAATTTGGTTGCTGAGATTAGGGAATTGGAGGTCAATAAGGTGAAGTTGATTGAGGGGAACAAAGAGTTAGAGGCCAATAAGTTCAAGTTAGTTGACGAGAACAAGGAACTAAGTGAAGGGAACAAAGAATTAGAGTTGAGGAGGTTAGAACGGTCTTCTAGTATGGACACTGATCAGTTTGATACAACTACAGTAACAAATGCTACTAGTTTTGTATCGGGATCACCAATGAAGGATCATAGACAGGATGATCATCGGAATTATCAACACCAGCAACAGAATCAACAGATGTCACAACAATATCATGGTAACATCAACCAGCCGGGTTTTTCCTCAACTGCGCAGCCTCAAGCAACTGAGGATGAGCAAACGCACAAAGCAACAAGGTTGAGATTTTGGAGGCGACCAAAAGCGGGAACACCTCAAATTGTCCTTACTAATATCAATGATAACAACAACAACAACAACAACAACAACAATAATAATAATAATAATAATAACAATAATAATAATAACAACGGTAATAACAACAGTAATAATTCAAATTCAGGTTCAAGTTTGAGAATTCCAAATAGTTTTTCATCACAAGCATTACGTATTTCAGCGAACGGTGGTGGTGGCAATACTACAGGCAACAATGGTGTGGCGTCAGGAACAAGTAGTGGTGGTAGATTCACCAAGTCAATGTCATCAAACATTCTTGATTCCTTCTTGAATGTATCTGGATCTGGGTCTGGAAGTGGTAACGGTAGTGGCAGTGACAATAACACGAGTTCCTCTGCTGTGCCGTTATTCAATTCAACAATTCAAAAAAGATCAGAGTATGAAAAGAGCACAGTCCCATTTATAGTCACACGATGTCTCGAGGAAGTGGAAGCTCGAGGTTTGGATTACGAAGGTATTTATCGAGTTTCAGGAGGTAATTCATCCATTGCAACTATAGAGAATTTATTTGCCAGTTTAAACCCGCATTCAGTAAACTCGTCGTCTGATGAGAAGCAAATGGCAAAATTAGAAGATCTTTTAACCAATGGAGATATCAATGCTGTTACGTCAGCATTGAAACGATATTTACGAAAATTACCCGATCCATTGATTCCATTTACGTTTTATGATAATTTCATTCAAATTGGGGCAAATAATACGAGTGTAGAGTACAAAATCAGTGAGCTTTCAAGACTCATGAAGAAACTCCCATCAGCAAACCAAGCTGTGTTGTTTCAATTGTGTACTCATTTACAAAAAGTCAATAACATGAATCATTTGAATCGAATGGGATATAAGAATCTTAGTGTCGTTTTTGCACCTACTTTGGCCAGAGACGAATTAGGAGATCGTGAAATGACTGATATGGGGTCTAGGAACGATGTAACTGAATTGTTGATGCGAGAACAAGAAAAGATCTTTCAATAAGGAGAGCAAATAAGCGGCGGGGAAGAAGGAGAAAGAGAAGGAGAAAGAGAAAGAGAAGGAGAAGGAGAAAGAAAGAGAAAAGGAGAAACGAAAGGGAGATTTGTATGTATGTATATTTGTCCTGATTTATAAATAATAAAAATTGTTGTTTTTTTTTTTATTTCGATAAATACTTGAATCGACTTGTACTTTTATGAACCTTACCGGTTTATTGGTTTGACCATCTCTCGATTGATGGTCAATAGCTCAAGCAGTTTTCCATTTTTTTTTTTTTCTTCTTTTTTGTTCCTTGCTTTAATGAATATCCTTTATCTGAGGATTCAGAAACATTTCCAATTTCCTGTTGCCAACCCTCAATAGATGCTCAATAGTGCTAAACTGTTTTTTGGGTAGATCTTTATATTTGTGGAATTCTTCTCTAATATACTTTTTCCAATGTCGTTGTGTTGCTATTGGTTTCGTGTATGATGTTTTTAAACAATTTTTGTAGAGATGTAATACATCTCTTTGTAGACCTGATAGTCTTCTTGCCATTGTTAGGAAACAAGCCGTGTGGATGCTGTATAGTGTGTGTAGATACCTGTAAATGCTATGTAAATGCCCGTAAACGCCGTGTTGTGTAGTAGCTATTTAGAAGAATTGGTAGGATTACCTTGTAAATGATAAAGCATTTGCTCAACTTGTCAAACAAGGTTGAAATTTTTTTCTCCGATGAGATGAGATGAGATGAGATGAGATGAGATGATTGAGGAATGTGATTGATACAAGTGAGGATATATCTGGGGGAGTAGAAAGCGGGTACTTTGAAGTAGAAAGCTGGTACTTTGGAGTAGAAAGCTGGTACTTTGGCTAAGCGATGACCTAAAGGGTAAAGATTTAGATCACAAGTAGAGGTTTGTGTGTAGAAGTAGAGGTTTAGATGAGAAGTAGAGCTTTAGATGAGAGGTAGAGGTTTAGATGAGAAGTAGAGGTTTATGTGTAGAAGTAGAGGTTTAGATGAGAAGCAGAGGTTTAGATGAGAAGCAGAGGTTTAGATGAGAAGCAGAGGTTTAGATGAGAAGCAGAGGTTTAGATGAGAAGCAGAGGTTTAGATGAGAAGCAGAGGTTTAGATGAGAAGCAGAGGTTTAGAAGTAGAGGTTTATGTGTAGAAGTGTAGAAAGTGGCTGTAAAGGAGTGAGAGCAGCTGTATGAGTACAGGAGTAAAAGTATCGAGGAGTCGGAGTAGGAGTAGAAAAGTAGAGGAGTAAATGTGACAAGAGAATAAGAGCTGGGGTTGGAGTAGGTGTGGATGTAGGTATATACTAGCAAGCGAAATGAGCTAGTAGAGCAGCATTTACTAGCGACGCTATCGACAATATCGACGCTATCGACAATATCGACGCTATCGAGCAAAGCGAGATAGTGAGCAGCACTTTGTAGCGACACTGACCGTGTGGCTGCAAAGGTGTAGAGGAGTACAGACAAAATCGAGCAGAGCAAGATAGTGGAGCAGACTGACTAACTGGTGCCGACACTATCGACACTATCTCGCTCTGCTTGATCGTGGAGCATTCTGACTAACTGGTGCCGACACTGACTACACCGACACTGACTAGCGACACAAGAGTAGAGGGCGGGAGTGGGAGCAGAAGCAGAAGTGAAGGGGTAGAGAGTAGAGGTGTAGGAGGAGAGTGTAGGAGTAGAATAGTAGTGGTGTAGGAGTAGAATAGTAGTGGAGTGGGAGCAGAAGTAGTGGTGTAGGAGGAGAAGTAGTGGAGTGGGAGGAGAAGTAGAGGAGTGGGAGGAGAATAGTAGTAATACAAAGTGTTTCTCCACTATCTCACTTCGCTCGATAGTGTTGATGCAGAGTGTTTCTCCACTATCTCACTTCGCTCGATAGTGTTGATGCAAAGTGTCGCTGTAAAGATCTGCACCCAAATCTTGACCTCCTTCACCATTCAAGTTTCCTTTTGAAAACAAAAGAAATTTGTTGAAATTCATTTTGAGTTAAGAATAAACACGAATGGCAGTTGGATCTTACAAATCTCAATTGCCCAATTTCAACATCTATTCTAAAGAGCAATTGTATATATAGTATATCTATATAGAATAAGAACCTCTACAAGATACCTTCTTATACTCTCTCACATCGCGGTAGTTTCCCGCGCCTACAAAACTACCGCGATTATTCGCTGTAACTTCCCCAGTGAGTCTTTGTTGAAACAACTTGTTTTATACAACTTCTTCTTTGATTACCCACTAGACTTGAAGCACTACCTTTGTCTACACACATTGACACATAAACTCTTTGCTCTCTCTACATACATTGACACTTTGACTCTTTGCTCTCTCGACACACATTGACACATAGACTCTCGCTCTCTCTGTTTGTTCAATTTCCTTAATTCTTTCCCTCCCTATTGGTTCAAACTCTTTGATTAGCTTATTTTTCCATTGACTTATCTTTGATTGACTTGTCTTTGCAACTTTTTTCCCACACATCAACGCCATTGCTGTCTCATCGTGGTGGTTTTTCTATCCAATTGGATTAAAATCGTTGATTCATCGCTACAAACACAACAACGTAAAATTGTAAAATTTTACAAAACAAAAATTACCAACGAGTTTTCAACTTTGATTCATTATTCAACCATCGGTAGGCAAAGAAACTTTTAGCACCGACACCCGCATCAACACCAATACCAGCACCCAATACCAGCCCCCAGAAGCAGTACCCAATACCAGCCCCCAGAAGCAGCCCCCAGAAGCAGCACCTTTCAAAAATAGAGCAACTAAACAACTAAACTAAACAACAAAAACAATAGTTGACGGCTCTTACTTGGTGATTAAAAGAGCAATATACCTGGCCAGTTGATCTTTTCGTCGAGACAAACACTTTTTTGCCCCCCTGCCCCCTTTTTCGAGGCAGAAGTACTACACTATTCCACTACATCAGGGATTCATCGCCATTTTTCAATTTTCATTTTTCATTTTTCATCGTTCATCTTTCATCTTTCTCCCCTCCTCCCTTGGATAAAGTGGGTTTTATTCAAATAACTGCCACTTCAAATGGCTCATACTATTCGAAAAAATGTATTCCAGCACATGAAGACGCCTACACCGTCGGCATACGAAGTTCCATCGTCACCAAATATCCATAATCTATCGCATCTATCTAATGTCCCCCAAAACCAGTCTGATCTGTCGGAACTGGCTGCTCCCGAAGTGAAAGTTGATCCATTACCACATCCTCCTGAGCCTCAAAAGCAATCGATCCCATTGCCACAAGTATCAATAAATCAACAACGACAACACCCACAGCCACTGCAACTGCAACTGCAACTGCAACTGCAACTGCTGCAGCAGAGAACTATGTCAGACGAAGAACAGCAGTTGGCTACTAAACTCAAAGAAACATACAAAAACATTGTCAACTATGAAGAAGTTGTTCAAAAAAATTGCATAGAAATTACATTGAAAATAAATCAAATAACTACAAACTCCAATCCCAGTTTGGTTTATGGATCGCAAATTGTTAACCAGAATATAGCCAGTTCACTTAACTCAAACTCATCTTTAGCATCTAGTTCAACTCGGACCTCGGAACTACTGAATGATTTATGGACAGTATACCATCACAATATTACTTTATTGGATAATTACTATGATTTTTTGGTAACTTCCCTAAAACCATCGTCTAATCAAACACAATTCAAAACAGGTAAAAATATAGTGGAATTGTACAAAATACCAAGAAGAATGTGGGTCTATGGAATAGTTGGGTTCCTTGAAGTTTTGAAAAATATAATGGGTATTTTTCAAGATCATGAAATATGCTCTTGCTTTATATCCCATTGCTTTAGTATCATTTCTAATTTAACTGACCCCATTTTGGAAATGGAAGGATGGTGGGCTGAAAAATTGGGAGATTTGTCTCGAATGGCTATTGCATTATATGCATCTAAGTTTATTGATTGGAAAATTAGTGCCGAATATTGGTATTCAGTGGCTATGCGGACACTTTATGGACACGGAAAGATTTATTACCACATGTGTACTGTACAACAAGATAATTTGGATGCACTTGTCAACATTGGTAAATCAGTCACTTGTCGAGACCCGTTTGTGCCCACACAACATTACTTGAGATTGGTAGTAGAAAACATCTGTACCCAACGAAATATCTTATCACTATTAGAGTTGCCAATAATAGATTTTATAAAAATTCACAAAGTTTTATTAAGCATTTACAATGGACGAAACAGCGAAGGATCATCGGCAGAAAATATTCACGATTCACAATTGCAATATGGTATTGATTTGGTTACTCGGTACGGACTCACTTTTGGTTCTGATTCTAGTGGTTATAATTTTTTTACTAGGGAGATGTATCCAACAACAATAGCAACAACAGGAACAACAGCGGCAACAACAACAACAGCAGCGGCAGCAGCGGCAACAACGGCAACAACAGGAGGTATTAACATGTCTCCTGAAAGTGCTAATCCATATTACCAAAAATTGCCTCAAAACTATGTACATGCATCGCTAGGAGGATCTCCTTCAATGGTGCTGCAACACCCAAGTGCTACAAATACATTGGAAAAGATGAATTTTTGGTTTAATAAGGGATCCCTTTTTGCTATTTCAAATATTAATCACTTGATTGGTTTTGGTGATGCAAAGAATCCATTTGCAAAATTATTTGAGTTACCCGAAGCATTAAAAGAAAGAAAGGATAAAAAGGACAGAAAGAGGAAAACAAGAAGTGTTTCACAAACGGAGGAAATAATCTTATCTAATATGGGGACAAATAGCGGCATCGATGGACAATCAGTGCTTGCAGCTCATTTACACAATTATGACTGGTTTTATAGTTTACAATTTATAAACAAGTCAGTATTGGAATTGTCAATGAGGATTTTGAACCATTATTTGGTGGGACCTAAACAAGCATCAACTGGACATGTTATTGTTTGGCTTTATTTTTTAATAAGCGTTGGTGAAGCAACAAAGAAATACGTTGTTTCTCAACAAATGATTCACTGGTTATTCAAGACATTGTTTCCTTGGGAATCATTAATTAATTACTTAAACTCATTACTAGCATTTGTCAAGAGTAATCCTAAATTATGCGCATTATATACTCAATATTTACAATTGTCCTACATTTCATGGTTTTGTGAAAATGAGTTTTTACCTGAGGTTTGGAAATGCTGGGGTACATTGTGGTTTGATTTTATTAATGAAAAGGGGGACTATACTGACTTGGAGGAAGCTGGAGTAAGAAATAATAATTTATTTGACTTGCCAACATGTGGAACGTATCCTATTGTCAATATGCCCACCGATAGTTGTGACGAGAGGTGCAAAAACAGGATGGAAAATGAAAATGACGAAAGAATAATTAGAATCATTCTCTTGGCAAGGACAATTGCTGATGAGTATGGATTTGGATTGGTGCGTACAAGTACAGAGTTTAAATTTGACGAACAAGTATATTCTAAAACGATGAATGATTCATTTACAGAAGAGTTTTTATCAGATGTAAGGTTTTCACAAAATAATTTTATTCAACCAATATCAGTGGAAAATCTCACTATGGAAACAAATAGTGGTTTGACATCTTTGCAAAAGGATGAACTATGGTTTGGTGGGTTGGATAGTCATTTATATGAAGATGAGAATCTTGAATTGGAAGATGACATTATCGACGACGACGACGATGATGTTGAGGAGGAGGAGGAGGAAGAAGAAGAAGAAGAGGAAGAGGAAAATGAAAATGAAAGTGGACAAGTTGGAAGAGGAGTTGGAGGAAACAATGAGGCACACATACAATATGAAGGAGACTACGAAGCACTGCAACCTTATTCGCAACTCCCCCATCGACAGCAATATCCAAGAAACACTAATGGTGCTGAAGAATTTTACAATGATAGCTTTATTGGTACCCCAACGGACCCACTTTTCTTAAGTAACATGAACAATGACGAACTCGAGGGTAATTTTGGAGACAAAATAGACAGTAACATCACACATGTGACATTGGACACAAATATATGGTTAAAGCATTGTGGAAGGATTTATAAATGTGTCAAGAATGGAGTATTGAAAATCACTATTCCTTTAATAGTTTTCCAAGAATTAAGAGCATTGAGGAAATCAGCGGAGGCAACAATTGCAGATGCAGCAACTAGATCGGTAATTATAATTCGTAAACTATACCTGACCAGAGAGATCATTCCTTTGAGCTTTGACGGGACAGTAGCCCTGGATATTAATGAGACCCTTGAGTTCGAAAATAACTCCAATTGGAGGTCGAATGTCGATGAAACTATACTTCATGCTGTTAATGAGTATGACGAATTAGGTAAAAGAACAATGAAGGGGCTCAATCTTAGACTTTCACCATATACTAGGAATAGAGATCACGCAACGCATTTCGATAATGAGGATTCTTACCAGCAACAACATCAACATCAGCATCAGCTACTATTATTACAACAACAACAACAACAACAACAACAACAGCAGCAGCAGCAGCAACAACAGCAACAACAGTTTTATCAGCAGCAACGTCAACAACATCAAAACCAGCATCATCAGCAACAACAACAATATCAACAACAACAACTGCACCAACCACTTCCTCCTCAGAACCTCGCTTATGTGCAGATGTTATCAAAGAAAGATTCCAAAGAACCCCCGGTATTAAACTCGCGGATGGCCAAGTTATTCAAATATTGTATTTTGATTACAGACGATCGAAATATGAGACTAAGAGCAAAGACAATTGGATTAGCATCATTTCAAAGCAAATGGTTATTTAATCAATTAGAAGCAGTATTTTCCGATAGATGTATAGATTGAGGATACACCAAAAAGAACAGAAATATACAAAAAGAGTATAATAACTATAAAGGAGGGAGGATGATGTAGTGAAGCGGAGAGAGGAGGTAGGGAGGAGAGAAGTGATGATGTAGTGAAGCGGAGAGAGGGGGTAGGGAGGAGAGAAGTGATGATGTAGACTAGCAAGAAACTCTAGTACCAAAGGAAGCTACAAAGAGTGAGTATATTTGCCCTGAATATAACTTGAAGTCTAAAATTACCGTTATTGTAGCTTTTGCCTTTTACGAAATTGCATTCATAGGCAAATGCAAAATATACAAATATAATTACAATTGCAATTACTACAAATACAAAAACAATTGCAAAAACAATTACACAATCACTCTAGACTTCGGAGCTTGAAAGCTCGAGAGCTCGCCAGTTTCATATTAACACAATGAGTCGCAACTTGTCAATATCTCTCAGAAATGTTCAAGTATGAACGCTCAAGATTACACAATGGTATGATTGCCTATTTGGCTAAATGTTAGGTGATAATGTGAAAAACACACTATACTTGGGCCCTTTCCAACAAACCTCGTTGATAAGAAAGGACCAACATATATTACGAGAGAGACCTCACCCCGCAAAACAATTTTTAATGCCATATCTTTATCTGTCTACAAAACAATTTTTAATGACATATCTTTATCTGTCTACAAAACAATTTTCAATGCCATCTATATCTGCCTACTTTCAAATGTAACAACTAGCGAGGAAAATTTCAATTTTCCAGTTGGTATTATATTTTAGTTTCCAGAATAGGGAAAATCTTATGACCAAAACCCGTGTGTAGCAGTGACATGTCTAAACTAAAATAAGAGTACTGTAGTTGATAGTGTTTTTGGGAAAGGGATGAAAAGATAGGCGCGCAACGGTGGTGGGAAAGGGGGGCTAGAACAAAATGAATACCGCGCCTAGGAATTTTTACGTCGCAATTTGAAGACTTGTGGTGCAATTTAATAGGGGCCTAGATTCTGTACAAAGACGCCGATGCGGGACTACACGACCAGCCCTCTACACTACATAGGGTTCCAAAAGCAACAGGGAAACCAGGAAGAAAGTGATATAGAACGAGATGGTATACATAATAAGATTTATTACCAGTTATTATAAAAGCCATGAGCTTATGCACCTGGCTCTGCGTGTCATTTTTCATTTCTTTTCTCAATTTGGAACTGGTTATAATTTTTTCTTTCTTTTTTTTTTTTTTTTTTTTTTTTTTTTTTTTTTTTTTTTTTTTTTTTTTTTTT